AATTAGGCGTGCACCCAAAAAATTGGAAGATTTGAACCAAAAATGAAGGCAGGGCCCCCCCCCCCCTACATCAAATGTGCCAACTCCACCATCCCCTTTAAAAAAGATCTGCATATAACTGCTTATCATAAAGCTAGGGTTACCGACTAAGGTTAAGTACCTGGAACTCGTTGAATGCAATCATTTGAGGGTCACATTATTGCCTAAGAAAAATTCCTTTAATATTAAATTAAAAGATTTAAGAGTGAATGAAAAATAAGTTTAGACTGTATTGAACCCATTAATGTAAGAATGAATAAATTCCCTACAGTCGTCTCTGAAGTCTGATCCTTTGTGGGTAACCCTATATATGGAAAATGACTATTTTTCTTATTATTTTTAAAGAACAAAAATTATAAACTTTTATTTTGTGGACTTTTTTAAAAACAGATGCTGCAGATATTTTTTATGTGTAATGTTTTGCACCAGTAAGAAAATTCCTTTGTTAGCTAAATTAGAGGAGATTTTGCGGAAATTCCTTGGTTTCGAGAAAAAAATTCGAATTTTGAATATTTTGGGAATAGGAGGAGGGGATCCTGACCTCCTTCTTCAACCACCTCTCCACCTTCTCATACGACAGGGCCAGGGACCTCATGGTGAGTAAATATTAGCTTTTAAATCAATCAATCAAGTGTGAGAGGGGGTAGTTACGGGGGGGGGGGGATCAGAAAATAAGAAATCACTCTTTTGGACGGAAAATTTTTTCTGTTGATTTGCATGCCTAAGAAAAAAAATTTTCCTTTTCCCCTAAACGCGTAAGATAGTTAACGTACGCGTGTTTGTATGAAAATGAGTTTGGAATAAAATAAAAACTCATTTATCTCGGATAAACTTTGGTAATTCAGGATGAAAAGAAATCATATTATACCAAACATAATCTTCATCTTTTATAGAAATAACAATTATCAACTAAAATAGACTAAATAAAAACTGTAAAAAATGAATATCTTTCAAAAACCTACATTTTTTAAATAAAATTGGCAAGACTTATTTAAAGATACTAGCTTGGGAACCCACTGTTCACCCGCGCTTTGTCGTAAATTACGATTTTAGCCATTTTTCCATAAAAAGGTCGACCCACTCAAATTAGAATCTCAAAACCTGCTCTGGTCCTACCGAGTTCCCCAATTAAACGTTTAGTAAAATCAGTCCAGAGGCTGAAGATTTATGATCGGACAAACAGAGGTTTCAAATTTTAAAAAAGTGAGTGCGCAATTGCCGCACGGTTAATGTTTATGTTTTAATATTTTTCTGAAAAATATTAATCAAGAGGAAAAATAATGCAAATATATTTATTTAAAGATTAAAACTTTATTCTGTATAGTGTACAAGTTGTATGAGTATAAAACTATAATTTATTCAATAATATTATTACTATTTCTGTGTATAGTTTAGAATATATATAAATTAGAGGACGGAAAAAATGTATTTATTTTAAATGCAAGCTTATCGTATAAACATTTAAAACATTTGGAATCAACTAAAGCTAGTTATTAAATACAAGGAAACAATATCTTGTTTATTGCGACACCCTGTAGTGAATATATATAATATCTTGATTATCAACATCTAAATTTGTAAAATGTGTACTTTGGTACATTGTGCATTTAGACGATAGGCGAATGTTCCAAAAAATTAGAAAAAAGAACGAATAATTTCTAAAAACATTTAGGGTATAATTTTACAGCTAAAAGATTAGAAATATTAGAGTCTGTAGCTGAATAGGATTAAAGGTTTCCAAGTATACTAAGTACAGTGATAAACTGTAGAGCAGGAGCACATTACAACAATACTGAAGTACATTTGATGTTACAAAGCATATAGCTTTACCAGTAAGTTATTGAAATCTTATTATGTGAAATGGGTCTGTTTACACTGCACAATTGCTGTGCCTTGCGTTCTCTCGACTTTTTAAAGTCATAACTTAAGTCTAAAAGTCGACTTCCTATTCCAGAGTTTTCAGGTTATCACTGTAGGATTAGATGTATCCAAGTCATTTGTTGAGAAGAAGTAGATTTATTCAAGTCTAAAGCTGAGCAGAATTATATTTATTTCAGCTTACAGCTTTGTAGAGTTAGATGTATCCATGACATCCACGTCTACAGCTGAGTAGAATTAAATGTATTCAAGTTCACAGCTGAGTAGGATTAGATGTATTCAAGTTTACAGCTGAGTAGGATTAGATGTATTCAAGTTTACAGCTGAGTAGGATTAGATGTATTCTAGTTTACAGCTGAATAGGATTAGATGTATCCAAGTTTATAGCTGAGTAGGATTAGATGTATTCTAGTTTACAGCTAAATAGGATTAGATGTATCCAAGTTTACAGCTGAGTAGGATTAGATGTATCCATATTTGAAACACTAAGGTTCAGAAGATTGATTTGTTGTATTATATGATCGGTATTGTCGAGAGGACCTGAAAAAATTCATACATGGAATCTTTAAAAATATTTACTTAAACAATAATAGAAAAAAACTTAGATGTGAAAATGTTAAAATTGTATGAAACCTGCAGCTGCTGCTAAACTGGTAAACTGATCTATTAATCGACTATTTTCTCTCAGTAGCCCCCAAACTTCATCCTAAATATGTAAACCTTAAAGGAACTGTCAACCAAACTTGAAGTTTAAACAGGGAATACCCGATTCACAATGATACACTTTAAACCTTTGTCTTATTGCAAATGATTTTAAGTTTTTTTTCTATCTAAAATTGTGATTTTTCTCTTTAAATTACAAAAATTTCTCCTTTTATTAATTTTATAAAAGCGGCAGTTTCTTGTTCATTGCCTTTTAAAATCTTTATAAATTATATGTTTGTTATAAAAGAAGATTTTTTAAATCATTTTATTATAAACTTTAGAGCTCTTGTCAAATTTTAAGGTATGGTGTATATTTTTAAGATATAATTGTTTAAGATCTGGGGAAAAAAGGAAAAACTGGACATGAAAAGACATGTTTTTCACACTTTTTCTTATTTTTGAATCATGTTCATGTCAAACTTGTTTAAAAAGAAACGGGAAGTGATTTTTCAGGGAAATATACTCCCCTGAGCAAGGAATGGTTAAATTTAAGGATGAATTAACCATAAATTTCTACCTGAGTCCCGAGAATGTTCTTGACGGCCCTGGTGACACTTGAATTATCTGGGTGTGGTACAGGAGTAGGGGTAGGAGGGGTTGGGGTAGGAGGAGATACATCCTTCACCTCTCTCAACCTTATACTAGCCTCACCAACCAGCTCAATATATTTCTCCTGAAATAGGAAAATATGGTGGATAGTGGTTGACAAATTATTCTGGATTAAGAAAAGACTTATTTTGATTTATTTAAGATTTTTAGTCTACACTACAATTTTTAAATTCCCTTCGGTTAATTTTTGGGCTCTGGGTATTACAATATGTGCGCTACCATGCTTTTTCATTATTGCATTTTATAAAAATATGAAGAATTTGAGTGAAGGCCAGTTTATCGCCTTGATATTAAGTACATCCAATTTCTTGTTGAATTTTATTTTAAAAAAGTAATAATTACGAAATCATGATTTAATTTGATTTTTGTAAACCTAAAAATTGCTAAAAAATAAATAAAATGCACCTTTATTCGAAAAATTAATCAAAACATCAAAGCATAGTAAATATTTTATTAGCCTTTGGTTCATAGAATAATAAAAAAAAAACGTTTTGCAAAAGAATTCTGAGTCGACAAAAGATAATTATTTAAAAATTATTTAACTTTTTATATTTACTGACCTGATTGTGACAAAGACCAAGGGAAAAAGAGGACATTTGATCTTGATAAATTGAAAGATCCTTGTACAAGATTTCAGCCTGAATTTTTTTTTTTTCAATCAATGAAAAGAAACCCCATTATCACTGATTACATAATCAGGTTAAGAGTGGTTGTCTTTGTACTTTTACCTGTTTTAGTAAAAATGTATAAAATAAGTTTCAAAACATTCTTAACTAAACGAAAATATTTCTATTCTGGACTGTAGAAGCAATTTCAAGTAACCCTCTACTATAGAGTGGACTGTGCAGTTCACAACAGTACCCTTCAAAGAAACCTTTATCTGAGTAACAATGAGGAAGATATCGTCGTCTCAAAAGTGTTCAAAGTTAACAATTTTTCAATGGCTTTCTTAAAGTCTCTTTAATAGAAAGTCCGAAAAGAAAACAATAAATATTCAAATATGTAAAAAACAAGAATACCTCTTGATTAGGCAAAATATAGAAGGTATGGCATGAAATCTGACATGCTTTACTCTATATGGAGGGGGGGGGGGTCATTTAAAATTACGTATTCTTTTCTTCTCTTCAAATAGCCTGTTACTTAAAATCAAATTGCAGGAACATTTAATTAAAATTTACCTGTAGGTAAATAGTGCTTGCCATCTTATACCAATCAGTTAATGATTCAGTTCTTGAATGAACAGAAGGCTTGCATTCCTAAAATATTTTAAAATAATTCATTGTCAGGGAAATATGTATGTACATCATACATCTAGATATAAATTAGATCAGTTTTCTTGTAGATATGTTTTGTATGGTCTCTACAGTTTTTGGAGAAAAGTTCTAAGAAAATAATGATGAAGAGAGCTGGAGGGAATAGTTAAGTAGTTGTTGGTATAAACAGAGATCTGAGACTCTGAAGAGAAGAGAGGATGGATTCTTGGAAAACCTCTCGGTCTCTTTCTCTTATCCAGAGCTGAAAACTTTAGAATGGGATATCCTTAATCCCGATTACTTAATCTGAGTATCCAATGGGCACACTTTTGATTTTCTTCTTAACCCGTTCTTTCTTAAATATAGTAGAGAAAAATCAGAATCAGAATCAGAATTAAAGAGTTCCGCCCCGTTTCTGTATATAATCTTAAATGGCGCGAAAAATTTCAAACTTATCGGCTTCATCTATGCGACTTTGATTGGTTGAATTTTATACATTTTTCAGGATACAAGTACAAGATTAGGTTAGTCTCGATATTAAGGAAAAGAGAAGATCAAGCATTAATCTCAATATCCAACATTCTAAAGTTTTTAGCGCAGGTTACTCTAACATTTTGGACATAAGGAAAAAATAAAATTTTGGACATAAGAAAAAAATTATTTATTTTTAAAAGCCATTTAAATCATTTTTTATTTTGATATTTCAGGGGGTAATAAATGCATATTTGATTTAAAACTGTCTAACGTCTGAAAATAAAAACTCCAAAGATAACCTTGCACTAAAATCAATTCTATAAAAATGATAAGGAATGAGGAAATAAACTTCAAACAATTTGTCACCTTAAGGAGTAAATCTTCAATAACTTTGATAGTTTCTGACATCTTTATTTTCTCTAGAATATGAAACTGCTCATCATTGTAGGTCAAGGTTCTAGATGCTCTATCTCTGAGCAGATGTTGCCAGGATTCCTGAAAATATTCATTTTTAAAGAACTGTTGCTTAATTTCAAGCAACTGTCCATAAAAATATGGCAATGCCTTATTTGCAACAGTACCATTGACATCTTTTTCAGACCAATAATGTGGAAGACATTTTTCTACAGGGTGTCCCACGAAACATGACAGTATGCAGGACGACTTGAATGTCGTCTTGATTTTTGATATAATTTGCTGCGTTTATTTGTCAACCTAATTTTAGAAGTGAATTTCTAGAGATAATAATCACAAAATTTCCCTTGTCCTGCCATTTCCAAAATGTGGTCTGCCTTTTTTGTGCTTTCAATATTGTAAGTTACAATTACAAGTTTAAAGGGTACGGTTGTGAAGCAGGCATTGCTATATTTGCATGTAGGCTCACTTAAAGTTACAATTACAGCCCTTTTAACATTGCATCTACATATGTAATTGACTTGTTTATCTAACTGTCTATTTCTTGTTGTTTTTTGTGTCATATTAATGTAAAAATCATTGTACTGATAGGGCCTCACAAGATCCCAGTGTCCGAATTTAATGAATTTGAGCCGTGTCTTAAATCTGCTAAAAACAATTTAGTGCCGGTTTAAATCTTGAAACATTGAATACAATTTTAAGTGGAACCAACCATATTTAAGCCGCAAATTAAATTCAAGCTGCAGCTCAAATTCTTTAAATTCAGCCTCAAGAACGGTATGATCAGAATTTGAAAAGATTTCTCCAAAAATTGTAACCTAAATGTTTAGAAATCCATTAAGGAAAGAGGGAAATCTGCAAAATATTTTGCTTTATGATTTTTAAAGAAAAGCTTAAATGATTATTAACAGAAGAGGCACACCCCTAGAGATATTTAAAAACAGAACCCCAGGTCTGTACAGGACAAATTTTGGCAAGTCTAATTTTAGCTAAATAGCAAAAAAAGATGAATGGCAGGAAAAGCAAGAAAATGCACATTGCTGTTACCTTTAGCTTGTTAACATACGTAGCAGCTCTAGGGGCAGCAGTAGATATACTTTTAATATCCCTTGTCATTTCACTCCAATCTCGGGCCAGATGTCCCTCATCTGCATACCTAAGCATTTTATAATCTATCAATCAATTATCTTGCAAATCTTTATATTGATCACTGAATTAGTCAATTTATTTATCAATCAAAAATAAAATCCTTTGATTGTGATTTGATTACACCACCAATTAGATTGATAATCGCTTTTCAGAAATCTGCGAATGAGTATGAATTGTTCAGCTAAACTAACCCAAAATAATTTAGTGAGTTAGCGGGAAATAATAGTAATCACTAAAGATTTCAATCCTTGAACAGTACCTTCTGTGAAGTTGGGCAATTGCAGGAGCCAGGTCTACAAGCTGGGAGTTCAGTTGAGCAAACCCTTCCACTTCCTCTTTTAGTATATCCTCGGCTTGCCTACAAAAAAGAGCTATAAAGATGGTTACAAATCAAATCAAAACAAGAATCCAATCGCTCCTTGATTTAAACGGGGTACAGCATTAAAATCCCTTCCAGATCAACCAATATGAAAAGAAAGTAAATCCAGATTATCCCCCCTTTAAATTAAACATAATACAAACTTGCAAGGCAGTTTCTTATAATCTGCGGTGCATGTTCCAACTCCAAATTCATATTTTGATAAACAAATAATAGTAGATGATACAGCCCTATTACCTTACTGTGTCTGCTATACTATCATCTGAGTCTAAAGGGACGGATATTGATTCTAGAATTCCTTTGGATGTCTGATGATACTGCTGAAAGAATTTAAGTTGGGAATCTGTTGATTTGCTCATAGTCTTACACTTGTCCGCTAGATCCTGCAGTTTCATCAGCTGCTGATTCACAACCTGATAAATATTAAATATAGTCTTACACTTGTCCGCTAGATCCTGCAGTTTCATCAGCTGCTGATTCACAACCTGATAAATATTAAATATAGTCTTACACTTGTCCGCTAGATCCTGCAGTTTCATCAGCTGCTGATTCACAACCTGATAAATATTAAAAAGATATGTAAAAAGCTTTGGTCTCTTGGACTTTGCTTCACATATGTCAAAAGAAGCAAAAATTCAACTTCTTGAATGTGAGAAGGTGTTTTAATAATGATTTACACCCTGCATCTGTCCACAACTAAAATATGGAATTCTTACCGCTACTAATTGTTTTACAGCAGTGTCCATAATTTTTGAGCACATGGAATACTGTTCAATCCTTCGCCTGTAAGCATATCCCACTGCACAAGCAGATTTAGCTAAAGTTGCATCATTCTCCACCGAGACAAGATTTGGTAGGGTAGGAAAGGTTGCCAACTCTCTGAATTCGAAAAGAAATTATATCTTTTCAAATGTAAACTTTGCCAGCTCAAATATATTTTTTTAAGTCCACATGAGATTGACAGTTATTTAAAAATCAAATTCAAATCAACTTTAACTACTAGATTTAAGATTAAGAAAGATGCATTTGTTCCTAATAAAAGTAATGATGAAAACACTAAAATTGTTGTTCATGTTTATGTTTATCCTTTTCAATATTGTTAATAAAAGTTGCTTAATACCCATGCAAGTTCAAAATTTATTGTTTTTATTAATTTAAAAAAATATTTTTCTACCCTATCTCATCATGTAATTATGTGAATTAGAACACCGAAGGGTTAAAAAATTATTTCTGTAATCTTCTAAGGATTGTACTTTTAAGAGTTCAATGTTTAGGCATGGTTTCTGAAGTATTTTTAGATTTTTAGAAAAGATTTAGATACAATTTCAAATTCCCTGTCATCTCCAAATATGATTGCATTATTGTTCTTAGCAAACATGATAATAGGAGTACATAATTCTGTGTCTGGGAAAGAGGTTCCTGGAGTGTTAGAATCGACAAGTTTATGCAACTGTGAATCCTCTGAAAAAAACATCATTATATTCTTCAAAATTATTTCTAAACAACATTTTCTTCAAAACACAATAAATTGGATATAGGATTCTGTTGAACAGGATTCTTCTGGACAATATAATTGGTATAATTCTAGGAAAAAGTTATAGAATATTAATTTATTTATTACCTAGAAGCAGTATTTGACTAGCAGGATCAATATCTACTTGTTCTGTGAGCAACATTTGAAAATCCTCCAGGTGCTGTGCTTTGTCCAGATAAACTCGTAGGGGGGACAGACTGTTCATGTAGAAAATATGAAGCTTTTTTCTTGACAATAACTTTGTCACCTCTCCAAAGAATTTGTCAAAGGTCCACATTTTTTGTTGATTGACCTCCAGTAGTCCGGCAAGGATTGGAGTGAGATGTTTCTTGAGACCTAAAGTTTTATTTTTTAATTATGTTTATTTTTATGTTAACAGAAAGGCATTTGTCTGATCAAGAATGAAAGAAATATAATGTTTAATTAGCTAAAAACATATATTACTTACAGTTGTGGTTTCCTGTTAAAGTTATTGTTGTTATTTAGGAAGTGGTTCAAGGAAGGGCGGATTTTTGGTAACTAATAGTTTGGTAAATAATAATTTGGTAACATGACAATTTGGTAACAAACAATTTGGTAACTTGAAAATAAATATACAAACAATGATTGTAAAACATAAATTTTAATTTTACAAAGGGTACATTGAAATTAATTATGCAGTCCCTTTTAAGTATTTTCACCCTTAATTAAGATTACTAGGTCTTTTCTATTAAAATTAAGGATTCCTCAAAAAACGTAAGTCTTCATGTTTTGAAGGCAAAATTTTTCAACTTTAACCGTCCTTGGGTTAATGTGAGTTCAATAATGGGGGGCCCGATTAGTTTAACCATTTTGACGTTTACTGGGGGCAAGCAAACAGACATTGCAATAACTTACCTTGACTCAAAAGGCATGAATTTGGGAGCTCTCTACCCCATTGAATAGGTCCATTCTCAGTTGTCTGTGCTCCGGAGATAACCCCACTAGCTTTCTTGGTGGTTATGTAGTACATTGTCTCTTTATTCCGACGACCTCCGAATGGACGAAAGGGAAGGTTACCTTAACAATATTTAATTCATTTTCTTATTCTTTGAATTGAGTCCATAAATAGTTTTAAGGTTCTGTAGAAGATTTAATAAAAGTGGTTAGCTTTAATATATTTTGTAAAGATGAGAACAGATAATGATGGGTTTCTTTATTAAGAATCTTCTGAACTTGAAGTTAAAATAAATTTTTAACAGAAATTAAATATTGTTGATTTGTAACTAAGATAAACTTGATTCAATGTAATTTGTTCAAAATGGACAAATCTTTAAACAACTAAAAAATTCATAAAATTTCTATAACCAATAACTTTAATTTTCACTTAGAAGGGTAATGTAAGATTAGGTAGTGCACATATTTTAGGCTATGGTAAGGCAGGAGCGTACAGGGGCTCCCTCTACCGGGACACAATAAAATCTTTAAATACTTTAAAATCTGACTTTTTCCCTTAGCTTAAAAAAAATTCATTAAAAAAGCTTTAATCATTACTGCCTTCAGTGTAAATATATCTTTGATTTATGATTATATAATATATATCGTTTCTATGAAAATATAGATATTTTTAAAGAAATGTTTCCATCTCTATTTTTCACTCATTGAAGCTTACACCACAGTATTAAGAGGACATGTCTGATGAGTCCACTTAAGAAAATTACATGAATAATTTATTAACACTTGTTATATGAAAGTGTGTATATGATCGAAAGTGCCCCCCCCCCCCTCCCTCCTCCCTACACAAATTCTCTCCTACGCCCCTGATCTCGGGACTTTGATCCTGCCACGCCTCCTGTGGTATATCTCCATTTTGGGTTTTTGAGGCCAGGGGGGCCGGGATTTTGTGTGTTTAACCTCGTGGGAGGACTGGGTCTCCCATATTTATGATATTTATGTTTTGAAATCTACCTGTGGCAACATGAAAAAGTGTGACACCAATAGACCATAAATCTACAGTAGCACCAAAGGTTTTACCAACAGGTTTCCTAAAAATTGGATTTTAGATTTAAAAACTGTGAGAATCATTCTAAGCATCTATATTTGTTTGTGTGTCGAATCATAACTCAGGAACCCCTTGATGGATAGGCTTCAAATTTAAATTGGGGAACTTGGTAGAACCACAGGAATGTTTTAAGCCTGGTTTAAAAATTCTAAATTGAGAGATTTGACTATTTTAGGAAAAACTGCAGGCAAAGCTGGGCTTCAAAGCAAGTAAACAATAACAAATATGAATACCTTAAAACTGCTCTTTCATACATATCAGGATGCAGATATTCCTCTGTACCGTACAAAGACACAAATTGCTGATCATCCTGGAAAAAATTGTATTTGTTTATTTTAACATGACCGAAAACTATTAGAATTTCTAAAGTTTGTGTAAAGTAAAGTGCTACCTGAAGCTCCCTTGCAGCACCAAAATCTGTCAGTTTGTAAACTACACTACCATCATCCTATTTAAAAAAAAGTACTTTAATTTTGCAAAATCACTTATTTGATAATTGATATTTATGTACGATAAAAATGTGTGCAATGAAATATTTTTATATCATTACTACATGCATTTCTACTTTTCTACAGAAAAAATATTAATTTTAAGCATCATGCTTATGATCCGGATCCGGAGCCAAGGAGTAAAATATCAACCAAAAACTGCTAAAAAAAACTTTTTTACTCCTAAAACCGAAAACTGAACTTTTGAAAAAGAGAGATTATAAAAATTTCCTCATTTCTGAATGGTTGATCAAGTTTTAGGGTAAAAATAAGCGAAAAAAATAAAACAAAAAATTTGAAAATATTTTTTTTATTATTCAGTAAATCTTAAAGAAATGATATGGATCTGGATCCGGATCCATTTTTTCCAGTGCAGATCCAAGATCCGGATACGGATATGCATCAAAATTAAATGGATCCTAAGCACTGTTACGCATTTACTACTTACGAAACCAAATAATTCTCATATTTTGATGTTTGCAGTAATAAGTATTAGAAAACGCCGCCTGAGAGTAAAAAAAAGTCCAAATTTTTTTAATAAAACTTATGTATTGTAATGAGCTACAAAGAAAACTCAATTCATTAAAAAAGCTGGATATGAGGAGAAAAACAAGGCTTGAGTCAAAAACAGGCTTCTTTTCCTTAGCAAAATAATTCATAATTCTGAAGTTTTTTTAATCAAACAATTATTTTATAGGAGAAACTAATTTGGGTGAAATAAATAAAAAAGTTTTGTTTCTACCTTGATAAACTTCATAATGTTTCCTGGCTTGAGATCCCTATGGACCAGGTTATTGTCCCTTAGATGGTTCATACCAGCTGATAGATGGGAGAGAACTAGAAAGAGAGATTTTAACAACTATATTTGAATTGAAGATTGATACTTGTGGTTTCTGAGCCTGAAAATTTCAAGTTTGATGGAGAAACTTTTTATGACATCTTAACCTTATCTTAGAAAAAGCAAGCTTTTTTTAGGAAAAACTACCCTTACTTTAGAAAGCAGCCTTTTTAGAAGAACTTTTTTTACAAGAAAAAGCACATTTTTTTATAAAATGCTAACTTTTTTTGAAGTAGCAACCTTTATTTAGAAAAAGATACCTTTTAATTAGAAAAAGCAACCTTTTTTAGAAAAAGCCTTAAAAATGTAACCTTATTTAGAAAAGGCAAAGCCTTTTTTTAGAGAGTTTTTTTGAAAAAGCATTTTTTAGGACTAAGCAACCCGACCAATAGTTTTTGTTGTATTTTACCTAAAATAAATTCATCTTCAATCAACCCATAACTGTTCTCTGGATCATCTAGTAGATTGAACAGGCTTCCCCCCGTACATAACTCCATAACAATAACCTATAATAAACTTAATTAATAAACCATAACTATTCTCTGGATCATCTAGTAGATTGAACATGCTTCCCCCCGTACATAACTCCATAACAATAACCTATAATACGCTTAATTAATCAACCATAACTATTCTCTGGATCATCTAGTAGATTGAACAGGCTTCCCCCAGTACATAACTCCATAACAATAACCTATAATACACTTAATTAATCAACCATAACTATTCTCTGGATCATCTAGTAGATTGAACAGGCTTCCCCCCGTACATAACTCCATAACAATAACCTATAGCACACTTAAATAATCAACTGTAGTGTACTGGTCGGATTTAATAAATACCAGGCAGTACTTAAACTTGAAATGTCTATTTCTGCAACTGCTTTCTGTTATTCTTTTTTCATGATTTTTGTTTTTGTTTTATGCGAGGGTTCATTTTAAGTTTTTATCTCTGTTTTTCTGTCTTTTTGATTGTTTGGATGTCGGATCAAAACTCATGAAACCGATTTGCCTCAAATTTTGATTTTGGAAACTCACTAGAACCACAGGACCGTTTTTAATTTGGTTTTAAAATTCTAAGTGGAGTAGATATGGCGAAAGTTTAGATGCAAGGCAAAGATGGGGTTTTCAAGCTAGCAAAATAGATAATGGTTTAAATAAATCAATAAATATAAAAAAGTTTAAAACTAACGATAATTTGATTCTTGGAAAACCCCAATTGTATTTAATCTAAATTCTCTAATCATATATTAAATAAATTCTGTCAAATTTAAAACATGCGAGAAATATTTGTGAAAATCCAGGAATTCAGCCCGGATACATTTATTAATATTTTCCTCAGAACAAATCAGAAGAAATGAACAATTTCCTCAAATGATTAAACAAAAAATTTTCCTTTGTCTTTTACCTTTCCTCTTCCTTCTTGCTCTTCTTCAATAGCCAGGAGTTTGACAATGTTTTCATGTTTTACTTTATCCAACACCTAGAGATGTCAAAAGTTTCACCATCTATACTAGGGACGTAATTTCAACCTCCAATTATTTACAACGGGACCCTTAAAACCTTTCTTAGAATGAATGAGGTATCCTTGTTAGTCTGGTTAAAGTTTCATTATTTTCTCTAGTGATTTTTCAATCAAAAAAATGTTGCTTAAAAATGAATTGAGATTGTAGAGTTACATGAAATTACTGTAAACAGTCCCTTTAAGCGATGCATATATTTTGCAATACTTTTAGAAAAAATTAATTTAAAGGATTTTCCAATTAAAATATATCAAAGAATAAATATTTTCAAATGTTTACGTTGCAGTTTTTTATTTACGGACAACATAAAAGACTTCTCAAAGATAAAAAGCATTTTTCTTTTTACAAATTTCAGTAATTTTACATTAAACTGCAAGTTAGAAAAACTAAATAAAATTTATTTTTAACGATAGTTGCCATTTTTGTTTCAATCTTTAAAATCTAATGAACAACAATTTAAATATCTTAACAAAAAATGCTTCCGAGATGGAATTTTAAATCTCTAAAATGGGGTCAATAAAAAATATAAAATGAAAAATAACAAAAATAATCAAAAATGTGTTTTACCTCAAACTCTCTCATCTGTACTTCCTGGGGTCTCATATGACTTAACTACGAAGAAATGATGATTACTGATTTAAAAATCTGTAAACAAATTTTTAAGTAAAATTTCAAAAATAATCATAGATTTTTTAATTATTTGTGTTTGAAAACTAATTCTGTCCTTCATTTTGCCCAAGATGACTTACATATAAGATTCAACGGATATCTTTAATTCATATTTTTCTTTGATATCGATATTAATACTTTATTTAGAAGTGACTACGGTAGCCAGAGACCAGAAAATAATTAATTTCTTTTAAAAATAGAAAAAAAGAAGATATCTTCCTAATTTATACCAAGATAAAGGTTGAAAAAGAGTATCATTTGTAAACCCGGCATTTAAATTGTTTAATGGATTAGTGCCTGAAATTTAGTTTACTATCTTCTTAAAGATGGAAGAAAGGATTACCTGGTTAAATGTTTTAACAGCAACAGTTTCTCCATTATGTTTGTTTACACCCTGTGATACAAGTTTTTTTAATATGTTTTTAAACTTAAAAAAGAAACATTAGAAACTTCTAATTTGGTTGTTAGATTTTGTAACATAGTAGTAAAATGGTTCAATTTACGTTAATAATGGAAAAAGGAATTGAGTCTGTGGTACAAACACTGATTTTCCAAACCCTATATCTTCGCAAAATAATTTTGTATAGACATTAAATATTTTAAAATATTAATTTTGTTAGATCAAATAATCTAAGTTTGAAATATCTAAGGTTGCATATATAAATATATAAGGAATAGAAAATTTGAGTTTGTGAAAAAGACTTAATTTCTGTTTCCAAATAAAATTGAAAATTTGCTTCTTACGTTGTAAGGGGGGGGGGGGGGGGGGGTTAGAATTAGGAAAAAATAAGGCTTAAATGTGTTAAGGTTACTTATGCCCCCCCCCCCCATCATTTCCCTTGACATGTAATTGTAACCTAGATGCTACTTTTAGTAAAAAGCATTTTGAATTGTTACTTTCAATCCCATTTTATTTTATTTTCTAATCAATTTTTTATTATATATTTGGAAATATCTGTATTTGTTTTAGTACAACATTTCATTAAAAAGATGAAATGTATCCAGTGAACATTCCTTGGAAATTGATTTTTAAATTATTTTCTTAGGAAAAGATTTCATTTAATCGTGGAGTAAGTTTTAGATGGAAAATCTTTCGATATATTTTAAACAAAAATTGGTTTTCATTTAATCAACATATGTAGCGGATACGACATATCCTATACCTATATTACTACCTGCTCTAAATAGTAATATAATAATTAGATAATTACTGGATAATAATCAAATTATCTACCTGAAAAACTGCCCCTGTCGCTCCTTTCCCTAGCACACTTGTTGTACACCAAACATAGTTGGCGGACCCGCGTAAAAATGACATTTTAAATGATAAAAAGAACTAAATTTGTTGTGTTATCTCATTTCGCTTCACCGACTGTCTGTAAACAGTAATAGCATAGCACTCAGCTGTTTGTCTGGGGTGGGGAGAAGGGGTTATTTTGTAGATTTAAACTTTAATATATTTTTCAAGATGTTTAATATGTGTGAATGAAATAGTTTGAACTTATAAATGAAAAATTATATTCCACAGAAAAATCCTTTTTTTTAATACCTGCGAATGGTTAGTATAAATTCATTCATGTATGATATACCGATACTTACGGTTTCTTTAAACTATCTATCTATCCGTCTGTCTGTATCTCTCTATCTAACAAATTATAAACCAAAGCGTCTATAATATAGACAAGCATATCCTATCCTTATTTACAGGGTGATACATAGTTAAAATATCCATTCCATTCTTGTAAGAATACTTCCTTGAGTTTTGTACAACTAAAAAATTAGAGATAACTAAACATATTTTTTTTTTGCAGAAAACTTTTTTAACACGCGGTAGCTCATTACTTTTTGTTTATATAAAACTTGTATGTCAATTAGTGGTTCAATTTAAGACTTTCAGAGATCTAATAACTAAACAAGCATTGAAGTACGTAATTTTTTTGGTTATGTTTTTATGAATAAATTATTAATAACTTTATGAAAGATGTAGATTTTTTTATATTTCATGATTGCATTGAATTGATTACTCATATCCACCCAATGAAACCGTTCCAGCTGAATAAAAAATACAAGATACAAAAACGCATATATTTCAACACAAAGATAAATATATATATTTTAACACATAAATAAATATATATATTTCAACACAAATATAAATATATATATTTTAACACATAAATAAATATATATATTTCAACAAAAACACGTATATATTTCAACACATAAATAAATATATATTTCATGACATATATAAACATATTTTAACACATAAATAAATATATATTTCATGACATAAATAAACATATTTTAACACATAAATAAATATATACTTCAACACAAAAACACATATATTTCAACACATAATTAAATATATATTTCAGCATAAATATATATATTTCAACGCATAGATAATTATATATTTCAACACTTATGAATATATATTTCAACACATAAATAAATATATAGTTCAACATATTAATATTCATACACATAAACACATATACTTATTATTCATTCATTATTTTTACAAATATACACACTTAAACATATATTTGTGCACATAAAAACATGTATTTCTATTCTACACCAAAACTTATATTTATTCACATAAACACATATATTTATAAAGATGAACAGTAAACACACATATGTAAGTAATAAATATCGTGTAACACGATATCTGTAAACCTAAACTATGTTGTACATTGCATTTATCTACGTTGGTAAACTTCTAACTGAAACCCATTATTCATTTGAACTGCCCTTCAAATCAATACATAGCATGATTAGCTTTATCATGTGATATATAATGACGTACATCTTAATTGTGTCTATTTTAACTGTGCTGTAAATAGGTAACATGAGTGATGTAGATAACGACGTAGGAATTGTAATTACATAACTTGTAACATATTAACCTCAAATATATTAGTTGATGTTTTAAAATTTTTAACTGAAATTTCGAGCCTGAATATTTATTAAATTGAAATTGTATATGGATCTTTAGAAATTTAACCCATGATTCTTTATAAAAAGTACACGAAACTTATATGTAGAAGGGGGTGGGGGTTAGATTAAGATTCTTAAAAATACCAACACATTGATCCAGACTGCTATGAAAAGTTTTTTTTTATAAGTGTAACCTTTGATTTGATGTAACTAACTTACTATACTTTTTGTAGCTCTATGCATATACATTTTAAATACAAAGCTCGAGTATTTGAGAAGTTATTCGAAAAATTCTCATCGATTTTTGGGTGAGAGCTTACATCCGTTGGACCACTGTGCCTGCAGCAGGGTAATCTTCAGATTAGTATTCTAAATTAGTTATTTTAATATTTGTATTATTTCTAGGAGAAGGAGAAGGATAATGGATGTAAAGGTTCTCTTACAAGATGGAGCCAGCTAGTGAGGTACTGGGTTACTCACAAAGGATAACACTTTAATGACGACCTTAAACTCTTTTAAACTAGCTATACTCAGGTTCAAATAGGTTTTTGTCTTAAATATATTAGAAGATTTAGAACAGAAAGCAGCAAGATTTGAGTAGCAGGGAACAATAAGCGTAAGAAAAGAGACTGATTAGATTGTGTACAGTCGTCTCTGAGGTCTCATTCTTTGTGGGTAACCCTGTGGTCGACCATGAGTGGGGTACTGAGTATCACCTCCAAGCAGGAGATTTTTGAGAAAGACCTCCGATCCCAGCGAACTAAGCATTCAATCTGCAAATTCTGCCAGTTGAGGTCATTTCGAGGGCCTATTGCAACCGTGAGCTTTCAAAACCAAGTAGACAGCTTTGTGAAACTTTGGGCGCTTGTTCTCATCCGATTGCGGCACCTCTTTTGATTCCATATTTGTTTTATCTTTTCTTTACAAACTTTATGAGAGCTTATTAAATTTTTCCCTTTTTTTAGTTTTGATCGGCGTGGTTTCTTTATTTTTTATTTTTCTTAATCTATATTGATTTCTCCTACTCCTTGCACTTTTCTTTTAGCTTTTTTTCTTCACATAATTGATTAAAGTATTTATTTTTATTTTTTTTTCTTCATAGTTTTTTTACTATAGGTGGCTAAATGTAAATGGGAAACATCTGAAAAATATATTTATTTTTCAATTTGTATGCAGCTTTTGGTTTGGTGGATATTTCTTGGCAACCTAGCATGAAATATTAAAATCACGCGAGGTTGTTAAATAATTCTTTGATTTAGTATAGTGATACCTACTGAGAAAGCGGTAATCTGTAAGAGTTTCGTCTGCTATGTTTACATTTTGTTTGTTTATGTTTTGACTGCAACCGGTTGTACTTAGTAAAACAAGAAAATTACAGTATACAAGCAGAGTAAACTTGTCCGTATTCACTGTTCATCTTGCGGAGACATTATAGACACATCTTTGCAGTCTTTTACCCTTTTCATTAAATAAACTCTAGCAGACATAATAATATTATGGCTTTTGAAATTAGGTATTACAATGCTAATTCAGAACAAAGACGATATGGAATTCGTCACTGAATTCCCATGTTTTTTGGGACACCCTGTATAAGATAAATAAACAGAGCTGGGAACTTTAGAATGGATAACCTTTAATCCCAACTACTTAATCCGGATATCCACCGTGGAAACTTTTAATTTTAGTCCTTTATCCACTCTTTTCCTCTCTTTGGATATCCGTACAGATGAGAGTACAGGAATAAAGTTCGTAAATTGTATTGACCAATGACAGCCTTGAAAATAAAAACTATCCCATGAGAGAAATCCGTAATTTCTAACAAAGAAAGAATTTGTTGTCGGCCATTTTGTAAGTTAATCGGTGAAGAAAAATATTTAATAATACATTTGAGATTCTTTTGTAACCAATTTTAACTAATGTATTAATAAATAAGTGGCTGAGAAATTGAGTGAGGGCCCTTTCAGTCAAGAAAACGAACCAATCTGGTGTTCTTAGAATCCAATTTGTTGATCTAAATATTTAATCTCAAGACTAACATAATCTTGAGAATAAGGTTAGTCTCAAGATTAGCAAAAACAGAGGATTAAGCATTAATCCTGATATCCACCATTGTAAAGTTCCCAGCTATGCTCAGATAAACCAAATATATAATGATCACGTCTCTCAAATTTAAAGCGTCGCTTGTTGTTTAGTCGACATTGAAGCATTTGTACGAAACGATGATTTGTGAGCTGGAGAGGTTGCTGGAGTGCAACGAGGCTGTGGAGGCTGAGGACATCATTACCCATCTCTCAACTGACCTCGGAGTTATTCTGAAAGGGAGGCTAAAATCCATGGATGTTTATGAAAAGCTGAATAATTCCAATAAACTCACAGTGTACACAGAGCTTCAAGTTGTTCTCAGGTAACGCTTTTTATTTTAAAAAAAATGTCTTTAATTTTGTTGAACTTATCCAAAATTCATTGCTCTAAAATGATTAAGGTTTATCTCCAAGACAGTGAAGGATGTTCACTCTGTGGCTGTTGACGGCTGGAAACAAGTTTTCTACCTCGAGGTCGGGCATTTGATTACTTTGCGCATTTATGCTGAGTAATGTACATAATGATTAAAGACGACATTTTAAAAATTCTATAAAATCATGAAAAGATTCTTACTTTCCAAAATGTACCGACTGTAAAAAGAACAATCTACATTACATACATCTGTTTATAGTTTAAAAAAATACTTGATTTATTTATTTATCTATTTACAATATTTATTTTTTAGATTGGAATACTGTACGATAGTGTTCAAATGTGCATTAGTATGGGAAACTGTGATTTTTACAATTCTACCACTTTTCTTCAGGTAAAATATAGAAACTTAGACCCCTAAACAGTTGAGCAATCTTTATATGTATTGTATACTGTACAGTGTACACAACACAATTGTTGTGTACACTGTTCTTTGAATTATTTAAAACCATATCTTGAGTTTAACTGTCGTCTTTCTATTCTACAATTTACTCAACAGTTTCATTGACCTGACTATAGCACGCTCTACATTTCTATATTCCTTCTACTGGTAGAATATATAGTTCTACAGTTCTATATTCCTTCTACTGGTAGAATATATAGTTCTACAGTTCTATATTCCTTCTACTGGTAGAATAAATATATAGTTCAACAGTTCTATATTCCTTCTACTGGTATATATAGTTCTACAGTTCTATATTCCTTCTACTGGTAGAATATATAGTTCTACAGTTCTATATTCCTTCTACTGGTAGAATATATATATAGTTCTACAGTTCTATATTCCTTCTACTGGTAGAATAAATATATAGTTCAACAGTTCTATATTCCTTCTACTGGTAAAATATATAGTTCTTCAGTTCTAGAATTTATAGTTCTACAGTTCTATATTCCTTCTACTGGTAGAATACATAGTTCTACAGTTTTATATTCCTTCTACTGCAACTGGTAAAATATTTAGTTCTACAGTTCTATATTCCTTCTACGAGTATAATATATATAGTTCTACTGTTTTATATTCTTTCTACTAGTAGAATATATTGATTTTGAGTACATAATCTTTTACGCAGCTATCATTGTCGTCTTCATTCCATAATTTTATTATCCAACTTTTTACTTTTTGTGGAACAAGAGACCATTTCACTATGATTCTAACAATTCTGAAAGTGTTATGAAAAGGGGATTAAAATGACATGAGAAATTTTGAAATTATCTTCTTAGCTGGTTTTACAAATGTGGATGCTATAGAAACTGACCTTGAGGAAACTGGCTTACAGGAAACTGACCCAGGGTATCCGAACTAGTATTCGCCTTTTTTTAAATCGAAAAAGTTTATATTATAGTGCGAATTTACGGATATGAATTTCAATTGGCTCTCAGTTATAACTACTGAACCAAACCAGATTAGACATAATATATTTTAGGTCCGTTTACTCTAGGTCGGTTTCTAGAGTAATTCTGCGCCTATACATGTTTCGAAATGTGTAATCTATAATCAATTTGAATACAACCTTTTTTTTAAATTCCAGGTTCACCGATGCTCATGCACCGATGTTTTTATGTTAAAAAATAATAGTTTTTTAAGTTAATTTTTATTTAGTCCTTGACAGACAAACTAAGCACCTGGGCGGAAATCCTGTCAACCAGGTTCAGATTTTAAAAACTTGTTATTGAACATTGTTGAGGTTATTATGGCAATCTTGTTATTAAGATATTTGTACCAAAATGGAGTTATCTGATTATTGCAGATATAACTGTTACAAAATAGCGTTTTGTAATTATTGCTGATATTTGTTGCAATTTTTTTTATTTAAATTTGGTTGATATTTTAAGCTATATTAAGCGATTAGTCGTTATTTCAGTTTTGTGTGGCAAAATTATGGTTCGTTATTAAGACAGATATTTGTGTCGTTATTGCAATTATTTGTGGCAAAATTTTTTATATCATTATTGTTTTAAATAATTATGGTTTGCAAAAGTCTAACGTATGTCATTATTCCTGATATTTGTGGCAAATTTGTGGTTTGATTTGATTTTTGACATTTTTTGGCAAAATAGTGGTTTGTATTTATTGTTAATATTTTATGCAAAATTGTAGCCTTTAGTATTGTTTAGGGAGACTAGGAAGTTGAGTTTTGCTACAAGCCTACTACGTGGTGTTAGGAACTGTTTTTTATTTAATATTTTACAATTTTACTTTTTTTCTCAACCTCAAACTTTGAAACATAAAAACTTAAATTAACGAATCAAAAATATTGACATTTATCAGCATTAGTTTTATTATTTAAATTGTTATCTTTTCAAAAATAACAATTTAAAGCACGTTAAATTCCAATATTCGTTCAATATTTGATTAAGAAATAAATCAGAGCTGGAACTATAATGTTTTACACTTTAAAGTGTACAGCATTCTGTTTTACACTGTAAAGTGTACAGCATTCTGTTTTATACTGTAAAGTGTACAGCATTCTGTTTTCATTTATTGTTACGGCCTTCCTAGTGCAATCAAACTAGTTTATAGCGGATTATTTCGTTCTATTTAAACTGATTTAAAATTACGAAATTTATAAAAATCGTCTTTAAACGTTTTACCAGTTGAATTAAACTTGTTTTTACAACTAAAATTAACTAGTATTTAACTGAAATAAACTTGTTTAGACTTAAGTAAACTGAGTCCGAATTTAATTAATTTGAGCCAGGTCTCAAAACTGCCAAAAACCAGTTTCAGTTGAGCGCTGGCTTAAATCTTGAAACATTGAATACAATTTTAAGTGGAACTAACCATATTTGAGCTGCGGCTCAAATTTTTTTAATTCGGCCTCAGGTTTAGACTAAAGTTGAATTGGTTCAAACCAAAGTCAACTGTTTAAGACTCAGCCAACCTAGTTTAAAAAAATTTAATAAAAAACTGGAATTTAGTGGACAATCTGAGCCTCATCTCTACACGTGGTTCTATAAACTCAAGTATTGATTTATCTTTTTTCTACGAATATCAAATGTTTATGATATTTGAGACCAAATATTTTCTGGATAAAATCTCTATTTGGTTTTCAGAAGAAAATATTTAATTTTTTTTCCGAAATTTTTTTAAAATATATAATAAATTTGATATATGGCCTGGCCTGCCCGTGGAATTAAAAAAAATCCCATGGGTTCCCTCAAAAAAATTTCAGCCAATTTCATCAAGCAGTTTGGCCAGCTATAGCAAACATATAAATGAGCGAAGAGCTTTATTATACTAGCTGAAGGGTCCGGCGTTGCCCGTGAAATTTAAAATATTTCGAGTTTTGAAGAAAATAATCATTCCTTTATAAAAAGTTGGTATTTTGGTATGCAACAATTTTCATCTATTCCCGCCGGGATATTTTCATTGAAAGATACTTTGAAAATCTACAAAGGCAAAAAAATTCGCAAAATTCGCAAGCCCTCAGGTTTATCATTGAATCCCCTCTTTAAAAAGGAATGTCATTTACTCTCAGATAAATTAGAATCAATGGATACATTTTTTTTTAGCCTTTATTACACCTGGGGTACTCAAGGGTTCCCTCAAAAAAAATTCAGCTCATTCGGTCCAGCCGTTTGTCCAGCTATAGCTAACATATACAAATATATTTGAGCAAAGAGCATTATTATATTGATTAGTTGAAGTGCCCGGCGTTGCCCGTGGAATTTTTAATAAAATCGAATTTTGAAAGCAACATTTTTTCCCCCTATGTTACTTCCGGGGTAAACATGAGGTCATTCGAAATATTTCAGTCAATTTGGTCCAGTCGTTTGGCTAGCTATAGCTAACATAATAAATATGAAAACATTGGAAAAAAATTTAAAAAATTTTATTTCATAATTCGATTTTATTTAAAAATTCCACGGGCAATGCCTGACACTTTATAGGTAGTCTTTATAATAAAGCTCTTCGCTGACACATATATTTATGGACGAGGAGCGTTATCATGTACATGATACATCTGAATAATAAACAAATGAATATAAATTATAATTCACATGATAAATACGAGATGCAACTCGTTGCATAATAAATGAATAGTTTTAGCCACGCACCATTCTATCAGATTCTATCTATTTATCTTTGGATCTAATAAACATATTTTTCAGAGCAGCATTGCTTTCTAAGTTCTCCATTTACTTCTATTCTGTTCTTCTGAATCAATCAGGTAAAAGTGGAATTTATTAGATTATAAGCTGTTCTAAAAATTAATAATCAGCTGGGTTTAATTTTTCAGAGAAATAGTTATTTTAGTAAATAATCAGCTGGGTTAAATTTATCAGATAATCAGTTATTTTAAGTAAATAATCAGCTAGATTCAATTCTTCAGATAATCATTCATCTTAGTAAATAATCAGCTGGGTTTAACTTATCGGATAATAAATATTTTTTAGTATATACAGTTATAACCAGAAAACTCTATAATCGGAAGACGACTTAAAGACTCAAGATATGACTAGTCCAATGAGCTTGGGATACCGAAATTGCACAGTGAATACAGATATATTTCACTAAATTAGTGATTTAATAAGTTTCTGGAAAAACGTTTTGCTTTGTAACAGCCTAGAATACACACAAGTATTGCTATAAAGTCGTCTTCCTATTTCAGAGTTTTCTGGTTATCACTGTATAAGCTGGGTTTTAGTAATAATCAGTTATTTTAAGTAAATAATCAGCTAGATTCAATTCTTCAGATAATCAATCATTGTAGTAAATAATCAGCTGGGTTTAATATATCGGATAATAAATTATTTTTTAGTAAATATCAGCTGGGTTTAGTCTATCAGATAATCAGTTAATTTAGTAACAAATCAGCTAGGTTAATCAGTTATTTTAGAAAATAATCAGGTTTGATTAATTAGAGAATCAGGAATGAGGATTGAAAAGTTAGAAGTTATCTATTTCTTTAAATAATCCATGGTTTACTTTTAACTGGTATTTTCTTCTCTGTACATGTTATGTTAAGTTTTCAATCAAATACTGGTGCACAATTTCATACGTAACCTGTTCTCAAGCTGTTAAGAATGATAAACCTTTAAAAGAAAATTACATTAAGGGTGGAACCTTCTTCAACCACACAGCGAATCACTCTACCCTTTAAAAGCTATACAAAAGTAGTTTTGTATTGTGACCTGTTGAAAAAAAAGTTTATTTATATTTTTTCCTAATACGGTTTAGATAGGTTTCGACAATAATTTTAAAGTTTCAGGAAAGGTTCCGAATGGCCTTAACGGATTAAAAATTGATACAAAATTAATTGGAAACCCTATCAAATATACAGGGCCTTATATTTTATTCAATTTTACACTAGCTAAAGTACCCGGCGTTGGCCGTGGAATTAAAAAAACATTTGAGAAAAAAATTTTGTTACTCCCGGGATACCAAATGGTTCCCTCAAAAAAGTTCAGCCATTTTGAACCAACCGTTTGACCAGCTGTAGCTATACATATACATAAGAGCAAAGAGCTTTATTATTTATATTTAATTTTGTTGCCCAGGTGGGGATATGCGTGCGTTGACCAGCAAGCTACCAGTAGACCATCCGAACAGGTAAACATGGAAACTATAAAATGACAACTTCTATATTGTCCACATTTGGAAAGAACACAAGACGTGTAATCTTTATTTTTATAGACTCTGTCATTTAATTGAACAAGCGGAAATCGAAGACGATATTTAATTCGTCTCTTAATTCCTATGTATTTTGGTACACACTGTAGTAACGGTACAAATGCTATGAATCTACGTGAACTTTTGAAAATGGATTTATGTAATAGAATTCAATTCTGTTTTAACTTTTGAACATGGATATATATAATAGAATTTAATTCTGTTTTAATTTTTGACATGGATATACATATTATAGAATTCAATTCTGTTTTAACTTTTGAACATGGATAAATATATATAAATATAAATATATAATAAAATTCAATTCTGTTTTAATTTTTTTGTAATCTCTACTGTGTCAGGCGATGAAACTTTAAAAACCCGAATTCCATACAATAAACAATTTTTTACTGATAGATTGATGTTAATCAGCTAATAGAATTATGTTTATCAGCAAATAGATTGATGTTAATCAGCTGACAGATTTATGTTATAAGCTGATAGATTGATATTATTCAGATGATAAAATGATGTAATCAGCTTATAGATTGATATTATCAGCTGATAGATTTATGTTAACCAGCTGATGGATTGATATTAATCAGCTGTGTTCTCTAGGCTGATAAGTTTCCATCGACGAACTGATGCCCTGACTGTTTGCATTGTTTTTGATGGAACAGGACTATCAGGGTTTAGAGGTCCAGGATACTTTTTCCAGGTAGGTTTAGAGGTCCAGGATACTTTTTCCAGGTAGGTTTAGAGGAACAGGATACTTTTTCCAGGTAGGGTTAGAGATCCAGGTAGGTTTACAGGAACATTATACTTTTTCCAGGTAGGTTTAGAGGTCCAGGATACTTTTTCCAGGTAGGTTTAGAGGTTCAGGATATTTTTTCCAGGGAGGTTTAGAGGTCCAGGATACTTTTTCCTGGTAGGTTTAGAGGTTCAGAATACTTTTCCCAGGTAGGTTTAGAGGTTCAGAATACTTTTGCCGGGTAAGTTTAGAGGTTCAGAATACTTTTCCCAGGTAGTTTTAGAGGAACAGGATACTTTTTCCAGGTAAACTTAAAGAGCCACCATAGCCCGCTAAGTTTGCCTCTGATTGGTATATTGAACTTTTAATTTTTTTAAAAGTATAGTTTTTCAGACTGACCGGCGGGAGGGTGGATCTCCAACAGGGTTAGAACTCTTTCCTGCAGTATTCTACCATCCGGTAATATCCTGTTCAATTCTGTTAATTTCTGTTTAGTTCTTTTCAGTTCTGTTAAGATCTATTCAGTTCTGTTCAGTTCTGTTCAGTTCTATTCAGTTCTGTTCAGTTCTGTTCAGTTCTGTTCAGTTCTGTTCAGTTCTGTTCAGTTCTGTTCAGTTCTGTTCAGTTCTGTTCAGTTCTGTTCAGTTCTGTTCAGTTCTGTTTAGTTCTGTTTAGTTCTGTTTAGTTCTGTTTAGTTCTGTTTAGTTCTGTTTAGTTCTGTTTAGTTATGTTAAATTCTGTTTAATTCTGTTTAATTCTGCAAAATTTTTCAAAATTTGACAAAAAATTGTGAATTGTGATAATTTTTTTTTGTCAAACTTGACCAAAAATTGGTAAACTTTGACCTAAAATTGAATTTTTTTTATCAAAAATAGAAAATTTTGATCAGGTGAGATGAATCCTTGTTGTGGGAGGAAAATCATACCTTCTCCATTGTATTAAGATTGTATCTCCTGATATCCCTGTTAACTGCAGTAGGTTCCTGGATACTGTGATAAATCACACTCTCATCAGTTTCCTGGAAACATGCAAATTGTTAGCTGTAAGAAAAAGTCAACTTAACAAGTTAACTACAAGTTAACTATCAGTGCTTAGGATCCGGATCCGGATCCGTTGGCTTCCTAGATCCGGATCCGCAAAATTATGCGGATCCACGGATCCAGATCCAAGGATGAAAATATCAACCAAAAACTACTTTTTACTCTCAAAACCTAAATCTATAAGTTATATTATAAAAATTTCTTGATCTCTGAATCTGTTCTGCATTACATCTATCTTTAGATTTGCAGTCCAGTATTTCTCATCACTGGAAGTTCTGGGATCTAGGGAAAGTGAGAGAAGTCATCATCTATAATTGTGATTACCCCACTTGTATAACAGACATTTTTCCCTGAACTTTTGCACACTGTTTTCTAGAAAGGACTTCAGGATTTGTTTTTATCGGAAATGCAAAAAAAGATTTAACTATTCCATATTAAAAGTTAACATTGTCAACCTCTGTAAAATAAACAAGGAGGCAAGTCAAAAATAATTAAATTAAATTATTCAATTGTATCTTTTTGAGTCTAATAATTTAAAACATTCGTGAATTCTTAACAAAGCTTGTACAATGTACCTATGTACAACGTACCTAACTAGATTTGAAATATTCTGTTTTTCATTACCTCGCCTTTCTTCGAATGTACGCCAGTTCTGTGTTTTTGTACAAGCCATGGTTTTTGCACAAAGTAGTAGATAGGATAGGACAGGTAATCATATCTGAAAACAATAGATTCATAAACAATGTAGTGTACAAAATGTGAATAAATAAATTTCTGTCAAAACTTTCAACAGATTTGTGTATGAAAAAATGAAATTTTAAAATAGTGACTCACATATGACTGACGATAAAGATAAGTATGATGAGAAGCTTGAACAAGGGATACAGCAGCCAGCTGTTCACCAGACCACGTGTACTCAGCTCTCCCATTTTCCCGCCAAAATTTAAATTTGGCGCCAATTAAAATCTGAAAAGAACGATATGTTACTAATTACTAACTTCCAATCCATATATATTTTTTTCAATATACTATACATACATACATTTTCAGATCTGTTAAATTTACTTAAATTTCAATAAATTCAAGGAATGCTTTATAAAAAGGGTCTGACAATCATTCTTTAAAAAATAGGTAAGAAAATTTAGTCTTGGCTTTTCCTGTGGTTAAATGGTTTGGTAAAAATACTATTAAAAATAATCGCTAATTTCACTAATAAATGCAATTATTAAAATTTTCATATATTTTTTAATATTTCTAAGACATGTGAGACATTTCCTTTTTGGTTAATAGGGGATACTAGCTCAAACTGGTTAATGTAGGATAACTAGCTCAAACTTTTTATAAAGTTGGGCATATAAGACTAATCTTGTGACCTTTGAAAGCTCAAGAAGATAATGTAAACTGTACTTCCTATGAGTATTGCTTGATGAAGTTGATGTGGAACTCCTTGAGACGACCCAACATGTCCTTGGTCATCTCCTCCTGTGGCAGAATGGTAGTCCTAAACGTAAAAATATAAAATTAACTAAAAATTACATTTTCCGTCGTTATAATTCTTACAAGGAACTGTCAACGCTATTTCAAGTGAAACTGGAAGTCCGATTCACAACGGTACTCTAAACAACCTTATCTGAACAACAATGAGGAAGATATCATCGATTTATCATCTAAGATTTATTCGTCATTTGAAGGGAACCGTTGTTAATCGGGCATGCAACTCTGTAACTGGAGGGAGGGAAGAGGCTGAAATTAAATTTCTTGGGAGTGATGGAGGGGTGGGGGGGGGGGGGATTTCTACCTAAAAGGAAATGTCCTGGGAGGAGGGAAGGGGTAATGTATTTACCTAAAATGAAATGTCCTGGGAGGAGGGAAGGGGTAATGTATTTACCTAAAATGAAATGTCCTGGAACGAGGGAAGGAGTAATGTATTTACCTGAAATGGAATGTCCTGGGAGGAGGGAAGGGGTAATGTATTTACCTGAAATGGAATGTCCTGAGAGGTGGGAATATATTTACCTAAAATGGAATGTTCCAGGCCTCTGACCGAACCCTGATCCTGGCACAACACAAATGCCTGTGCTCTCCAGTAAGTTGAACGCGTAGAATACATCAGGAGCTTGACCGGCTTCAGCTGCAGCTGCTATAGCTGCAGGAGGCAAGGTCACCTACAATAATCATAATCTACATAAAGGTATATTTTGCTTGTCTGCTTATTAGTTGGTTATTTTGTAAATCCCCTGAAATATGAGTACATAAACTCTACATGGATCACATGTTAGGATTTGTCAAAAACCAAACAAATGCTATTTTACATTTTTCCCATCTTCCTTTTAGACTATTTAAAGGGAGTGACTGGCAATGTATGGTAGTTGAACTGAGAATGTCGTATTGTGGAGAACTTTTGAGGGATGATTTTAAGAATCGGTTTTTAAAAACTTCTTAAATAACGACGACGAAAAACGTGTTGAAACTTCTATAGTAAACTAATTAGTTGTTTAGGAACAGGTTGAGAAAATAAAAATAACTATTATCATCGAAAATAAGGAATCTTTTTCAGTTATTGGTTTCTGTAATGTCTCACTGTACACAAACATTTTCATTTCCTGGAATTTTATTGAAAAGACGACATTTGAAAAATTTGAAGAAATCTGCGAACAAATTCATAAAGCATAAGAAATTCAATATAATGATGAAAAAGAAATAATTGATTCTAACATTTATTTATTGAGAAAGTTTCAATTAAGAAATATGTTCCTAAACATCTAATTAGCTTACTGTTGAACTTTTTTACATTCGTTGTAGTCACTATTTAATACTTTTAAAAAAATCGATTCTGAAAACGTAACCACCTAAATCAATGATTTTGAACGTCAACTTAGCACTCAAACTCAGTAATTATACACCATAAAGACGTTTTATGTGTCTCAAATTGACCCAACAAATTTCTCCACAATACTAGATTCTAAGTTTAACTACCATACATTGCCATACTTTTTCAGCACCATAAGATCAAAAGTTATCTGTCGTTTTTCCAATGAGCTCTATTAATAAATTCGTACCCCCACACCCACCCACCCACAGCCTTTATTGTATTAAATAGTTCTATACCGTTCGATAGTTTCATTTAGCGTAAAACTATGTCGAATATTGGAATGGCCCCAAACGTGAATGAAGAATGGCCCCAAGCGTGGAATTATTTCTCAAAGAGGCCCCTCATTTCCTGCCATGCACTGACACTTAATTACTCCTGTAGATAAATAAATTGTACCTGTGGGAAGGCGTACATAGCCCCTTGTACAGTATTGCACTGAATTCCATCAATAGAGTTTAGGGTGTTAGCAACCAATTCAGCTCGCCTAGACATAGGGGAATACAATACAGTCATTATCAGAAAGACCTTGCACTAGTTTATAATTAATCAGACGACTTAACAATCTAATTTTACAAATATGATTATAAAAAACGATAACAACAAAATAGCTCTATACCTGCCAATTCTAAAATGTGGTCTGCCTTTATTGTGCATTTAAAAGTACCAGAGATATATATTATAGTCGTCTGATTAACTGTCAAATAATTCCGGGTCTTTCTAGTCCTAACTGTAGATAAATAAATAAACTGATAAATAAACCGACAGCTATAGATGAACAGATAGATTAAAAAAAAGCATGGTTAGATAGAAACATTGAGAGATGGATAGATAAATAGAAGGACAGACGGATAAAATAGATAATATATTGATAAATTGAGAGACAATAGACAAAAAGACAAATAGATAGACGATAGATAGATGATAAATAGATAATAGATAATAGATAATAGATAGATAGATAGATAGATAGATATCTGTATTTTCTGACCCCTGTTCCATGGACCTCAATATTCCATGATTTACAATTTAATTCATCAAATAAACAGATAGATAGATAGACAGACAGACAGACAGACAGACAGACAGACAGACAGACAGACAGACAGATAGATGGATAGATAGATAGATACAGACAGATTGATTCTGACCTCTTGAGGCTAGCCAGTGTTCCCTGAACCTCAATATTCCATGATTCAAAATTTAATTCATCAAATAGACAGATAGATAGACAGATAGATAAATAGATAGATAGATAGAAAGATAGATAGATAGATAGGTAGATAGATGGATAGATACAGACAGACAGACAGATTGATTCTGACCTCTTGAGGCTAGCCAGTGTTCCCTGAACCTCGCAATTCCATGATTCATAACTTGGTTCATCAGGCTTCGGAGGGTTTACTACAGCATCCATACACGCCTGGCCTAATAATATCATATGTTCCGAATCATGTTGCAGAAGTTTGGGCATTGGGCAACAGTTTTATTAAACTTCTTATCAGAAGTATACAGCAGTGCTTAAGATCCGGATCCGGATCCATTGGATCCGCAAGATTTTGGCTTCCTGGACACGGATCCGGATCCGCAAAAATATGCGGATCTGGATCCAAGGGGTAAAATATCAATCAAAATCCTTCTAAAACCAAAATCTGAATTTTTGAAAAAAGAGAGATAATAAAAATTATAAAATTTTAGATCAAAGTCTACATTTTTTAGATCAAAGTAAACACTTTTTAGATCAAATTCCATATTTTAAGCAAATAAAGTTAAGGATTTGAAGCATAATTGTTATCTGAAATATATATTTTTTTGAAAAAAAATTTTTAGATCACATTCAACATATTTTAGATCCAATTACACATATCTTAGATCAAAATCATAACTTTGGCAGAAGAAATTTTATGAAAATCTTCACTTGACAAATATATAAAAATGAACAGGGAGCTCAAATTTGAAAAAAATATTTTAGATCAGATTCCACATTTATTAGATCAAATTCCAAAAATTTTCAGAAAAATGCGGACTTAGATCTAAAAAAATATTTTAGATCAATTTCCACGTTTTTTAGATTAAATTCTCATTAGATCAGATTACTCTTAGATGAAATTCCTTTTAGATCAAAAGGTTCATAGATTAGTTTCCCGAACAGGGTAGAAGTAAATATTTCCATTCACTGTTATAGCGCCGATATAAGGATTTATCTCGAATTGGATAATGGGATGAGTAGAAAGATAGATGTTACCGCCATTCTCTTTCTATTGGTTCAGAATAGACAACAAACACATGACTGAACCCTGATTGGATCAGGCGCTAATGGACACAAGTGTTTCTCTTTACCTATAACTGTCGGGCAAAGTTTGGCGGAGATTGATTTCTGATACATCGCCATAACCCCAGCATCCAGGTTCAGGACCTCAGCATATCCTGGAATACAGGTAGAGCAGAGGTCAAAGAGGCCATCAGATGATGGAGTCATCTTTAAAATTTGCGAGGTCGTCTTTTGAGTTTGTGAGGTCGTCTTTAGAGATTAAGAGGTCGTATTTAAACTTAATGTGGTCATACATTGTTCAAGATTATGAGGTATTCTTTAAAGTTTAGGAGGTCATCCTTTAAACTTATTTGGTCATCCATTTTACAAAATTTTGAGGTATTCTTTAAAGTTTAGGAGGTCATCCTTTAAACTTAATGTGGTCATCCATTTTTCAAGATTTTGAGGTATTCTTTAAAGTTTAGGAGGTCATCCTTTAAACTTAATGTGGTCATCCATTTTTCAAGATTTTGAGGTCTTCTTTAAAGTTTAGGAGGTCATCCTTTAAATTTAGAAGGTCATTTCACAAAGGTCAACTTTCTTGTTAAAATGGTCAAGATGCTTGTAAAGTAGGTCAACTTTTTTATTAAGAAGGTCAATCAACATTATAGTCTAGGAGTTTTTAAGGATCTTTTTCAACTGGATCCTGAATCCAGCCTTTTAAAAAATTGAACGGATGCTGATCCGGGTCTTTATTCCCCCTTCTCCCCTTTCCCCTCTCCTCCTCCCTTCCATTACCTCCTCTGATTCCACACTCTCCCATGTATCCCTTGCTGCAGGTCATGAAGCTTGCCATCTCGATCTCGTTGAATGGTGCACCCATCTCGTTGGTAACCTTAGCAGAATTATCTATATAATAAAACAAGACATTCATATATATATGTTGTCTATAGATGGCCAAACGGCTGGACCGAATGGGCTGAAATTTTTGTGGACACTCATTGGGGCTGGGGGGTGTTATAGACAAAAAATTTCGAATTAGTTTTTAAAAAATATTTTTACAAAAAATCTTTAAAAATATTTTTACAAAAAATCTTTAAAAATATTTATTCCACGGGCAACGCTGGGTCAGTCATTTTTTAATTGTAATTTTGACTACAACTGACAACCGACATTGGGCCAGTCTACCAATAATAATAGTTTAGAAAAATATGAAGATATTGAAAGATGATAAAGAAAATAACAATGTTAATAAAAATAAGAATGATCACATGAAGATGGAGTTGAACATTAGATGGACCAGATCGATTAAGAAACCTTTCCCGTTCAGAATATTTTCTCTCTTAATTTTACTTCTGCATGCCCTCCCAGCTGTTGCAGGTAAACTGTTTTGTTGGATTACGCGGATTTGTGTGTGGCGAATCCGATTTTTGGAATTTATTGATTTTTCAGTTTTAAATTTTACAGTTTCTTAAGAGATTGATAATCCTGTATTTTTTTCAATAACGATTGTAAGCAGAAGTGTGGACTAAGAAGCATAGGTAATTCTAATCTAAAAAAGGGTTCAGATGGTTACTCAGACCATCGACCGTAGGTGGGAACAATGCCCCCCACATATGAAAATGTGAAAGATAAAGATGTAGGTGAAGATGAAAGAGAAAGAGAAGAGGAAGATATTAATGATTTTGTAAATGATGAAGATGATATCAAAGATGATGATGATGAAAATATTGTTGAAAATAATCATGAATTAGAAATATTAAAAATAATAATCATGAAAATAAGTATATCAATAAAAATGGTAACAAAAAAACGTAAACATTATGTTGATAGACTTCATCAGCAAACAGGAACAGTTTCTCCTAGAAATAAGAAAATTCCCGAAATATTTAATTTAAAAAAGTTTTTTCAGCCTTATTCATACTTTTGAAAGAAAGGAAAAGCTTTGATTTTTATCCTGAAAAAGCAGCCTCACTTTGCCCCTTTGATACGAAAAACATTTTCCACTAATTTTCCGATCAACTAACAAAACAGAAACATAGGAATAAAATTAGTTAAATTCTTTAAATAAAACTGTTGTTTACCTTGTGGGCGAACTTGACGATATCTATAATATTCTGCTTGGTGAGAACTTGTCCAGTTGGGTTGCCAGGGTTTATAATAACAATGGCCCTAAATAACAAAAAATGAAAAAAATTGATTAAAAAAAAAATTCTCAAGGAAAGTGAGGAATGAAATTGAGTCTTTGCCACAAAGTCTGATTTTCTAATCCCTATACCTATGCAACCCAGAGTCGTAGACCAGGATATTTTAAACTGTCCATTTTGTAAGATCAAATTATTTAAGTTTGAAATATCAAAATCGTAAATCATCAGGTTACAGAGATCCAGGGATTTGAAAATTCTAGTTTGTGGTTCTTTTCAGATGTAAATTGATCGGCATGTTAACCATTAAAGAAAATTTTGGAATTTTTAAATTTTACTTCAGGGGGTGTCCCAAAAACCAAGGGAATGAAGTGACGACGTCTATAATCGTCTTTATGTTGCGCGGCATTATTACATGAACAAAATGAAACATAACCCACAATTTTAGTAGTATCCCAATAACATATAAACATACTTGTCCCGGGAATTCCAAAATGTTGTCTTTAATTTTCACACTTTCAAAATCGACCGAAATATTAAGAGATCAGAGTCCAAAACTAAAGAACGAAAAGTTTTGACTTAAATTTTAAGTTCATGGTTAAATGCCACTTCTGACTTAATTTAAACCTGAACTTTAACCGGGAGGTTATGTGGCGGAAGACGATACAACATGAAAGGTCTGAAGCCGGATATTCGAACGCGGCAGGACGTACTCAAATACTGCCACGTCACCTTGATATAATTTTAATAACTAAAACTAAAATTTGTACTTTTACCAGTTAATAAATGTAATTATTTAAACCGGGCTTTATTTATCCGAGCGTAGCTAAAGTTAAATATTTAATCCTGTGGTTAAATATTTAACTCGCCGAAATCGACGAGTTAAAATTTAAACAGAGAGGTTTAAATTATCTTGAAATCCTGCATTTTCCCTATTTGTCTATTATTCAATCATCATTCAGCTGAGAAAGTTGCATTCAACTTTACGATATATTTAAAAGTGAAAACCTTGTTAAAGAAATTTCACGTTTTAGATAAATTAATTTTTGGATGTAAACCCAAAAAACGGTTGTATGTTTTGTTTTCGGTTACGTAAGAACAGCTGATTAGCGATGGTTATGTAATATTCTCCGTAAATCCTTTTCTCTGATTGGTTCAGATTTTCCCGGGAAATTCAAATTTAAAATTGAGAAAGTTTAATATTTAATTAGCTATTCATTATTTTACAGAACTTTTAACCTCGAACTTAAAATTCGCGCATTCTTTAGTTTTAGACTCTGTTCAGATTTCAGTTCATCAAATGATTAAATAATTGGTCAAATGTTTAATATCTCCGTCAATTTTTTTGATACAAAGAAGACACACAACATCTTAAAAAGCTCATCAGACAACCTTTATTTCAAACAATCTTTGTCATTTATTTAACAGCTATCGGAAATCAAAGTCGTCTATTTATTCCAAAATGTTTATTGGGACACCCTGTACTTGTACCTCACGTCACAGTGGGCCCTGGCCTCCTTAATAGATCTCTCCAGCTCAGCAGGGTCCAGGGCCCAGCCCCTCTCCTCATCAAGATAGTACCCGACCTAGTACAAAAACAAGATTCTGATTTTCATCCAAATATTTTTATCAATTTTAAATAATGTGAATCGGTAAAAGCACTTAAGAAAGAGCAAATCACAATTGGCAGGCAGTCCATTTCACGATTTCAAACACTACAACATATTCGTATCCTTATACAGTCCCTTTATGAACGTTACCTATATAGTATAAAATCCCTTTAATATTGTTCCACATATACAGATTAGTATACAGTCCCTTTAATACTGTTCCACATAAACAGATTAGAATACAGTCCCTTTAATAGTGTTCCACATCTACAGATTAGTGTACAGTTTCTTTAATACTGTTCCACATTTACAGATTATAATAAGTTCCTTTAATACTGTTCCACATCTACTTATTAGTATACAGTTCCTTTAATACTGTTCCACATCTACAGATTAGTATACAGTTCCTTTAATAGTGTTCTACATCTACAGATTAGTATACAGTTCTTTAATACTGTTCCACATCTACAGATTAGAATACAGTTCCTTTAATACTGTTCCACATCTACAGATTAGTATACAGTTCCTTTAATACTGTTCCACATCTACTTATTAGTATACAGTTCCTTTAATACTATTCCGCATCTACAGATTAGTATACAGTTCCTTTAATACTGTTCTACATCTACAGATTAGAATACTGTTCCACATCTACTTATTAGTATACAGTTCCTTTAATACTGTTCCACATCTACAGATTAGTATACAGTTCTTTAATACTGTTCCACATCTACAGACAAGTATTGAACTGAATAATCAAATCGCTGACATGACACTAAACTAACATTTCTTTTATTGCACTTAATCTGCAAGTTAAGAGATAAGCAATTAATATTTAATACAGATAAATTTCTTCTCATGTGATATCTTAACAAAATACATATTTAAAGGTAGAAAACAGACATAGAACACACAGAGAACCCCAAAAAGTAGGAATATTAAAGAGGAAATATTTATCAAGAGCTGGTACAGAGAGTACTATATTCATAGATTAATAACAATTACCAACACAGATAAAACAATAGATGTAGTCTTTTCAGGATTTAGGGGGTTTTCGTTCACAATAACCCTGAGGCAGAAGCCAAAAGGAGTTCAGCGCAGGCAGCGTTGAATTACAAGGCAGAGAGAGAGCATGCGCTGCCTGCGAGGAACTCCTTGGGGCCACTGCCTTAGGGTTAATGTAAACGAAAAACCCCTAAATCTTGAAAAGACAACATCTAGTTTTCTATCTGTGTTGTTGTTAATCTATATATCATTTCAAATTATCTCCAAAATACACACTTATAAAATCGTTGAAAAATTTCAGTTTAGCCCCAAAAATTCCAATTTAGAGCCGTGCATGATCCAATTTGATGGGAAGGGACACCCTGTATGAAAATGTTGTACTGTGAAATTTGGCAATTCCATTCCCACGACTCAAGTCCCCCTTTTGGTAACAAAATAAATAAATATTGTTTAGTGTAAAGAAATGGAGTCATTGTCACAAACTCAAATTTGGTCATTTCTAAATTTTTGCAACCGGAGGGCTGAAACCTTAGTGTACACTGTACCTGCTCCATATTGTATTCAGCAAGACTGGCAGAATACAGAGGATATTGAGGAATAGGGATCATAACACCAGGTCTTCTTCCCTCACCTGCATTCATTCATTCATTCATTCATTTTTTAATTGATCCATTGATTTACTGGTTAATTAATTTATACATTCAATAATTCATTTCGTAATTCATTTAGAATTTCTCTCAGTATTTCATTCAGTAATTCATTCATTAATTCATTTATTCAGTAAGTAATTCATTCAGTAATTCACAATACAGTTATTCATTCAGTAATGGATTCATTCATTAATTTATTCATTAGTGCATCAATTGATTCAATAATTGATTCATTTATAGATTTCATTCATTTGTTTCATTCATTTGCTTAATTCGCTTATATATTACATTGGATTTGTTTCGTTGGATGCCTTTCATGCCTTGCATGCCTTGTATGCCTTGCATGCCTTGCATTTGATCCTTGCATTCCTTGAATTCATTGCATTCCTCCCTTTCCTTCCTTTCCTTCCTTTCATTCCATTCAATCTGTTCAATCCGTTCAATCCGTGCAATCCTTTCAATACTTTCATTACTTTCATACTTACTTAATTATTACTCTCATTACTTTCAATACTTACTTTCGTTCCATTCATTCCATTCAATCCTTTCAATCCTTTCAATCCTTTCAATCCTTTCAATCCTTTCAATCCTTTCAATCCTTTCAATCCTTTCAATCCTTTCAATCCTTCTTTTCAATCTTTTCAATCTTTTCAATCCTTTCAATCCTTTCAATCTTTTCAATCCTTTCAATCCTTTCAATCCTTTCAATCCTTTCAATCCTTTCAATCCTTTCAATCCTTTCAATCCTTTCAATCCTTTCAATCCTTTCAATCTTTTCAATCTTTTCAATCTTTTCAATCCTTTCAATCCTTTCAATCTTTTAAATCCTTTCAATCCTTTCAATCCTTTCAATCCTTTCAATTCAATCCTTTCAATCCTTTCAATCCTTTCAATTCTTTCAATCCTTTCAAACCTCTCAATCCTTTTAATCCTTTTAATCCTTAAATCCTTTCAATCTTTTCAATCCTTTCAATCCTTTCAATCCTTTCAATCCCTTCAATCCTTTCAATCCTTTCAATCCTTTCAATCCTTTCAATCCTTTCAATCCTTTCAATCCTTTCAATCCTTTCAATCCTTTCAATCCTTTCAATCCTTTTAATCCTTTTAATCCTTAAATCCTTTCAATCTTTTCAATCCGTAAATTCATTTTTTAAATTCATTTCCATTTTTTTCCTTTTTTTCCTCTGTTTTTTTATTTTGTTATTCATTCATTCTTGAAATAATTATCTTCATTTATTTTAATTCTAATTGTCGACCTGGACTTGTCATAAGCTTGAGACAGGCTCTGATCCCCTCGCTAGCTCCAGCACAGAGCATAATATTCTCCCAACTAGCCGGGAAACCATCCCTTGAAATATGTTCATCAATAAAATCCAATATTGTGGAAGACGATACCTGGCCGCCTAAAACAAGTTCCACAAGAATGAGATAGAACGGATACGGGGCATTGTACTTTCAGTCTACGCGTGTGATCTTGATATTAACACATTTTCTGAACACTCTAGTAAAAGTTATAGGAAATATATATACTGGAAGTTACTTAATGCGTTTCATTAGAGATCGACCTCACGTCCTCTATAATATATTGATAAGGGAACCGATTTTTCCGGAATAAATAGTCTTTTCATACTCATAGCCGTTTAAGTTCTAATCAATAATAACCTTTTTACCACGGAGATTATGGAATTGAGACTAAAAATTTAGGATAATAATTCTCTCAAAATTAATTAAAAGAGCATTTTTAAATAGAAGAACATTCGTAAGGTTCCTCTTGTCTCTCCTTAAATTTTATTAATATGGCTAATTATTTCTCCAATATTGATTCACTAAAAAAGTAAAATAATAGCCAAAACAAATATTTAAAAAATGTCTTTCTGAACTTCTCCTAGTGTGAAAAGTAGGAGGTGTGATTCTAAAAATTTGTTTTTATTATTTCATATAAATATAATTTCCAGTTTTTAATTCATCTAGATAAATATGAAACCTGTTAATATTGAATTGAATTTTGTTTTCATATATAAATACTCAATTTAAAACAGGTTTCACAATTAAACTGAACAGATGTTGTAATACGCAATCTAGGGAAAAAATAAAAATTGGACATCAAAAGGCCCGTTTGTTAGCCATTTAAAAATTTTTACTCAAAAATTTATTTTGTTTTCTTGTAAATCATTTATTTCCCCAATTCGGCGAATAAATCCCTATAAAAAAATCTGTTATGGAAAATTCGAAAAACATCAAGAAAATTCAGGAATTGGTGTTTTTGCTTAGTCAGATGCAACTTATGAAATAATTATGAAATTAATAATTCTTTGATTGGTTATTTCATTACCTTGTTGATTGATTGATTAATAGATTGATTAATTGTTTGTCAGATTGCTCGACTGATAAATTGTTTAATTNAATATTTCCATCTGATATCATATAAATATTTAAAATATTGTAAAAATTAATTAAATCAAATTATTTAAGTTAAAAGACAAAAGACAAAAGAAGACTAGACATTTACAAGGTAACAAATTAATAACTGGATATTTTAAACGAATTTCGGTCATATACAAACAATTAATAATTCTTTGATTGGTTATTTCATTACCTTGTTGATTGATTGATTAATAGATAGATTAATTGTTTGTCAGATTGCTTAATCAAATTAAATCAGGCTGTTACGGACGTTCTACTATAACCCCCCACCCCCTCCCTCCCTGACTCGAGAAATGAATTAATAAATAGCTTGATAAATTGTGTGAAAGACTAATTGATTTTAAAATACATTGATTTATAGATAAGTTAATTGTTTCGACTGATAAATTGAGCGTTTAACTGATCAATTGATTATTTAACTGATCAATCAATCGTTTAGCTGATCAATTTATTTTTTAACTGATCAATTGATTGATCAGAAATTTACCTTTCTGAGATATAATCAGCAACATGACGACGAATAATTTCAATCCCGGCACTGTCACTGTAGGAACCCACACTGGATCCTGGTGGAATAACAAAGAAATATTAATAAAGGGACTGCAACCGAATTTCAATCAACCCTCAATTTATAGAGTGGCACGCCTGAATCTCAACGGTACCCCCAAAAGCTTTGTTTGAAAAGAATTGAATGTGATATCCTTGTTTCAAATTTTGAAAATTTAATATTTTAAAAAGTGACTTACGGATTTCTGCTACAGAAACACTGGAGAAAATTTAATAACACTGTAAGCAAGAAATAGGAAGATATCTTCCACAATGATAAAAAGCTTTAATAAAATAAGGCTTAAATGGGTACTGTTTTCTATAAGGTATCACGTCCTATCTTTGTATCCATGAAGTCTATCTCTTACGTCCTACATTTGTAATTCATGAAGTGTATCTCTTACATCCTACATTTGTAATTCATGAAGTGTATCTCTTACGTCCTACATTTGTAATTCATGAAGTTTATCTCTTACATCCTACATTTGTAATTCATGAAGTTTATCTCTTACGTCCTAAATTTGTAATTCATGAAGTTAATCTCTTACGTCCTACATTTGTAATTCATGAAGTTTATCTCGGGCACGTTGGTTAATACCCAACCTTTGTATTCATAAAGTTTATCTCGGGCACGTTGGTTTATACCCTACCTTTGTATTCATAAAGTTTATCTCGGGCATGTTACTTTATGTCCTACCTTTGCTCATGAAGTTTATCTCGGGCACGTTGGTTTATACCCTACCTTTGTATTCATAAAGTTTATCTCGGGAATATTACTTCATGTCCTACCTTTGCATCCATGAAGTACATCTCGGGCACGTTGGTTTATATCCAACCTTTGTATTCATAAAGTTTATCTCGGGCATTTTACTTCATGTCCTACCATTGCATTCATGAAGTACAATTCGGGCACTTTGGTTAATACCCTACATTAGCATCCATAAGAAATATCACCGGCACGTTACTTCATGTCCTACCATTGCATCCATGAAGTATATCTCGGGCACGCTACATCATGTCCTACCATTGCATCCATGAAGTATATCTCAGGCCATTATTTCATGTCCTACCTTTGCATTTTTTGTTTGAAAAGAATTGAATGTGATATCATTTTTTCAAATTTTGAAAATTTAATATTTTAAAAAGTGACTTACGGATTTCTGCTACAGAAACACAGGAGAAAATTAAAAAACACTGTAAGCCAGAAATACGAAGATTAAGCTCAAATGGGTACTGTTGTCTATAAGGCATCACGTCCTATCTCTGTTTCCATGAAGTGTATCTCTTACGTCCTATCTTTGTATCCATGAAGTGTATCTCTTACGTCCTACATTTGTAATTCATGAAGTTTATCTCGGGCACGTTGGTTTATACCCAACCTTTGTATTCATAAAGTTTATCTCGGGCACATTACTTCATGTCCTACCTTTGCATTCATGAAGTTTATCTCGGGCACGTTGGTTAATACCCAACCTTTGCATCCATAAGGTACATCTCGGGCATGTTACTTCATGTCCTACCAATGCATCCATGAAGTAAAATTTGGGCACTTTGGTTAATACCCTACATTAGCATCCATAAGAAATATCACCGGCACGTTACTTCATGTCCTACCATTGCATCCATGAAGTGTATCTCGGGCACATTACATCATTTCCTACCATTGCATCCATGAAGGGTATCTCGGGCACGTTACATCATGTCCTACCATTGCATCCATGAAGTATATCTCAGGCCATTATTTCATGTCCTACCTTTGCATTCATGAAGTACATCTTGGGCACGTTGTCTAACGTCCTACCTTTGCATCCATGAAGTATATCTCGGGCACGTTGTTTAACGTCCTCAGGGAAGTCTTTGCTTTCTAGTAGAGGTGGATGAGTGATCAAGGCCAACACCAGCATTTTGTAAAAGAATATTTTAAAGGGACTGTAGACGACCTTTGCTGCAGATGAAGAAATTGTCAAAATTAAACATTTCCACAGTTTAAATACAATATTTTCTCAATTTTACTTGGGAAGAGGTTTATATGGTGCTATTAATTGATATGTTATTAAATTGATTTGTGAATAGATTAATGTGTTTTTGATTGATTTGCTAATTAATTGAATGATTAATTGATTAATTTGTTACTTCATTGATTGGCTCATTGATTTTTAAATTGATTGATTAATTGTTAATTTTTTTAGTTATTAATTGATTTAGTTATTAATCGATTTATTTGTTAATTGATTTAGTTATAAATCGATTAATTTGTTAATGGATTCAAATATTAATCAGTTTATTTGTTAATTGGTTTAGTTATTAATCGATTTGTTTGTTAATCAATTGATTTGCTAATTGATCGATTTGTTAAAGATTGATTGATTAAACACCTGTCTAATGAAGGTGATAGGTTTGTTCCCCATGGCATGAGCATCTCCTATGTTAGCCTTGATAACATTAGGAAATGGTTTCTTCACACCAGCTGCTATTTCCTGATAAAGTTGTTATTAAGGATTTTAAACATACTAAACAATGTACATTCTATACAGGGGTCCGGGGTCATTTCAAGAGTTATCCTAAGATATTTCTATTTTATTATATTCCTGTTCTATTCCTACTCTAAAATTCCTACTATTTAATATTTTCTTGTTATTATTTCTATTCTAGTATATTCCTGTTCTTTTCCTATTTTAATATATTCCTGTTCTAATCCTATTCTAGTATATTCCTGTTCTATTTCTTTTCTAGGATATTCCTGTTCTATTCCTTTTCTATGATATTCCTGTTCTATTCCTATTTTATTATATGCCTGTTCTATTCCTATTCTAATATATTCCACTTCTATTCCTAATTATCGTATTCCTGTTCAATTCATATTTTATGTATTAATTTCCTGTTATTCCCTATTTTGATATATTCCTATTCTAGGATATTCCTGTTCTTTTCCTATGTTATTATATTCCTGTTCTACTCCTATTTTGATATATTCCTGTTATTTTCCTATTTTAATGTATTCCTTTTCTATTCCTATTCTAGGATATTCCTGTTCTATTCCTATTCTAGGATATTCCTGTTCCATTCCTATTCAATTATATTCCTGTTCTATTCCTATTTTTAATGTATTACTGTTCTAGGATATTCCTATTCTATTATAATTTTATTATATTCCTGTTCTATTCCTATTTTATTAAATTCCCGTTCTATTCTTATTTTACTATATTCCTGTTCTATTTCTATCTATATATAAATTTGGCTTGTCTGTTTGTTTGTTTGTTTGTCTGTCTGTTTGTATCCAATAATAGCAGATATTCTCTATTACAGGATTTTTTGTTATTATAACATAATTTCCGCCAAAAAAAAACAATCTTTAAAAAGCTCGATGAGATAAAACCAAAAACCATTAAAGTTTTCTGTAAAAACAAAATATACATGCTAATAAAAAAAAATGTTATTTGATAATTAAGAAGGGGAATTTCAAGAAAATATATTTGCCCCTTTTATATTTTTTTTGCACATTTATAACCTTCTCTATCTGTGTTGCACGGATGACCAGAGGACCTCTGACGGCGTACTCCATCTTCTTGATGCAGGGGTTCATGTTCCCCAACACGAGGTTGTGCTGCTGGGTACTCATCTTGCGAGCTGAAGCTAGGATACCGGTTCTGAAACCCGACATTTTGATTTTATCCTATTCTAAGAGAGATCAAGACTTGGGGGGCTGGGACGCGATTCTTTTATCGGCAGTGGCGGAGGCTAGAACTGTGTTTACCGAGTTTTGATATTCTGCAAGCATCAGACAATTGTTTTATTAAAAAAAACTTGAAAACTAAAAAGAAAACGTAAACTCAAAAAGCAAGAGGTGTTAAAACAACAGGAGTTAACTACACTGGGTGTCCCAAAATACCTAAGAATTTTACTAATTTACTTTAAAACTTCCGCTGAAGCGAAGAAATTTAAAAATTCCAGACAAAGCTGGGTGTCCAGGTTAGTTGACATATTAAAACAACGCAGAAGAATTAATAAAAGATCATTAGTTCCAGCAAAGAAAATTCAAATGACCATTTTAATAAAAATTATAAAACTAAGAAGCTTAGGGCCACTCAATTGATCACAGATCACATGGCGTCTTCTGGCCATTTAAGCGATCATTAATATGCAGTGGAGTGGCTAAAAAAAACACAAAGTGTTCATAAAGATGACTGTAAAAAAATATCTTTAAAAATGGACACGAAATTAAGGTCCGTTTAGTCCCCATAAGATAATAATTTCTCGTTGCTTGACTTAGATTCTATGAGTCCCAACATTAGTATAAAACCAGATGTCAGATTTACAACGATGTGATGATAAATGTTAGCAAAATCAAAACTGCAGAATAATAATAAGGTGAAGCATGCAACAAAAAAAACCGAAAAACTTTAATATACAATTTAAAAATCACACAAAAAGAAGAAAATACTTCCTTGCATCACGCTCACAGAGTTTAAGTCATGATAATTAAATGTCAATGAACAAAAGTAATTTGCTTTCTCTTCTCAAAATAATTTTCTGTTTTCAGATTTGATTTCGATAATTTTGGCTTTCTTCCCCCCGGTAATATTGTTAAAAGTAATTACGTCATGACATTTTAAATAAAAACTTTTAGGATTACCAATAGAACTAAAATAAACATTTTTATTATTGTTTAAGCAAAAAAGTTTTTCATTAGACTTCCAGGTACAAATAAGCGTCTTCATAAAGCCGAAACTACGAAATACGTAACTAACTCTGACTGATTGTAGATTGATTGGTTGATTGTTGCCTGTAACATCAGCTGATCCCTGTAGGATCCTGGGGGGGGGAGAAACCAATTTGTAGATTTTAAAAATAATTTTGAAAATTCATCAAAATGTATTAAAATTATAGATTATAATTCATGAATTTTTTATTTAAAAAAATAAGAATATCGTTCTGGTTTAAATTTGAACTAAAAATCAATCATATGTCCTACTTAAATGATCCTAGATTTACTTATCTTAACGATAACAATTACAGAATGGAACTTTTATTAGATCTCTAGGTTCGAAATGAAGAATTTTATTTATAGCATTTACTGAATATTCAACATTACTATTTCATGTTATCATTAACTTTAACTTACTTCAATGGAATGAATAAATATATTATGTATGCTTACATAAATAAACTGTTTTCTAGTTACCAATATTCCAACTATTTAACATATCTAAAATTGCATTTAATCCAGGATGACGGACCAGAGAACGAGACCAATTTGGAGTCTATCAGATGCCAGGAGACCTCCGCCACCTCTCCCCCCTTCATATAGATCCATGCTTTACCCTGCTTATGCTGATAAATTGTCAAGAAATATCCCTGCTGAAGAACAGATGAAGGATATTTCTCTCAGTAGAAAATCAGGAGAACATGCTGTGTACTTAAATGCAAAGAGGATATACTATGAATCCATTCGTGCAGCAAATTCAATTCTGGAGAAATATTGTGCGATATGCTCGGAATATATCATGCCAGGTGACACTGCTAGCTCTACTGTTTGTCATACTCACAACAGTTCGAAAGATTATAGAATATCGGCTCCAGCAGATATGTGGGGGAACTATCACTGTTTTACTTGCAAAAACAAAAATTGGCAAGGAATGCGATCAATGAATGGCTATCAGGGAGATGATATTCATATAGACTACATTACAATCCCTGGAGCAACAGTAAGAGAACTAGAACATGCTTTCATGGCTGAATACGGCAATGTACACAGACCTGTAGATGTGCTTCTGGTCGCTGGACTAAACGATATTCTGCGAGGAGCAACAGACTCGGAAATCATGGAAGACATAGATCATTTCCGAAGCTCAGTAAGATCGATCTCAGCTATAACAGGAGATATTTATCAAGGTAGCTTTGCCGCTGCCACTCTCCCTTTCCCTCCAAAGATTACTGTGATTAACAGAGACCATAGAAAAATAGTCAACAACCGTCAAGAACTGATGGTTTCTCTCACTACCAAGATTAGAGAATCAAACTGCTCCGATACCCATCCAATCATTCCGACACGTCTTGCACCCTGTTTTCATACATGGGGAATAAGAACAAAGAAATCTTCTCACTTTACAGGACCAAGGACACTAATGGAAGGATGGTTAACTCCCAGAAGGGGTCAATGGAGAGAGACCAAGCCGAGAGACATGTTGCATTTGGAAGATAAGTTTTCAGCTCAGGTTTTGAAACGTATGAATACTGTACAGTATGGTTCAGTCTCTAGAAAACCGAGCAGCGGATAGGTTTAAGATATTTGTATATTATTTTGACCGATAGCCGTGTCGGCCAAGGTTTTCTTTTCGGATTAGATCGATTTATTCCACTTAAACTCCTCGTATTCTTTAGTTGAGAAAAAGGTTCTGAACGAAGAGCAATAATATAATTTTTGACGTAGCGTCCCTCCAAATATTAATAGCGAAGTCAAAAATTTTAGTGTCTTTGGTCCCTTCTTCGTCAAGGATCCTCAACCCTGTGTGTTTTGTCAAGACAGTCGAGAAGATTTATTATAAAGGTTTTATAAAGATTTATTTGAGTATACGGTGAGAACCAGAAAACTGTTAAATGGTAAAGAGGGTCTGTCCTAGTGAACGATTTTTGGACCCCCACCCCCCTCCTATCAATTTTGTACGTGACGAAAATTAGTATTTATTTATTATTATTTAGGGTTTGGTTAGGTTAAGACACTTTCAGAGCGGAGCGCTGCGGCCACGGGTCAGGTTAGTTAAGACACTTTCTGGGCCGAGCGCTGCGGCCACATGTTCAATTATATCTATGTCTAACAAATAAGATCCATGTACAAAATTGATAGGAGGAGGGGAGGGGTTGTCCAAAAATCGTTCTCTAGGAATATACCAAAGTCTTAATTAATATAAGAGTATTTTATGTTGTTACAAAGTAAATAATTTTACGTGTAACTTATTAAATCACTGATTCGGTAAAATGGATCCAGGTAATTTCCTAGAGAACAAATTTTAGAAACTCAGCTTTGCCTGGAAGCTAAGTTAAACTTGTTAATGTCAACCCACTCAATAATTTTGAATCTCAAAACCAATCTGAGAAAATTCCCATGGTTCTCCAAAGTTCCCCAATCAAAATTTGAGGCAAATTGGTCCAATGGTTTCGTGAGACAAACAGAGATTACTACTTAATTTTAGATGAAGAATTTGTTTTAAAATGGTTTAAGGGATAGAAATTCCAGATCTCCCTTCTTATTTCCTACTACTTTCCTATTTTATACTTAATCTTCAGGTTCTTGTATATCTCTAATTAATCTCCAGTTCGTATTGAATACAGGAGTGGGATGGGTGTGAAAACTTCTCTCCCAGCGATATTTTAGAGAATAGAGTGCAAGCTATTACCGTGGTAAGAACTATTAATGTTTAGAGATATTTTTGTATAAAGAAATTTTGTAAATAAATAGTTTATGGCCCGTGGGTAACAATATGTTGGACAACGGATATGCATTAAATACATATGGATTCAGACTTGAGTGGCTTAAGGGGGAGGGGGCAATTTCAACATCCCCCCGCTGAAAAATTGGGGGGGGGGCGTACTATCAGTAGACACTAAAAAGATATTCTGACTCGCATCAAGAAATATTTCAGTAAATTTTTACTGCGGCGGCACTTGATCAGTAGGGGAATTACCCTGTTTTCCCCCTATAGTCTGCAAAAGTCCTAATAGCCTGATATAATCCTTATTATATTTCTTGTTATTCTTCTTAGGGTGTCAGGTTTTGTGTAACTTTAAATGGTATATTTATTGTAATACTCATATATACATGTTTTTTAGAGAGGATAAATTAAGAATGACTGACTTTCTTTAAGTCGAAAACGAGAAAATAGTTAGAAATTCAATTGGAAATGATGCGCGAAGCGCCAAAGAAAACTTTTGGTATTTTTTCTTTAACGACAAAATTTTAAAAAAGATGGTCCACAATAATGATCATGCTGGAGCCAAGTGAGGGTGGGGGGTCGAGAGGGGGCAAAATTTGCAGAGGGAGGGGGCGAAACTCTGTTCGACCGCCCCCCCCCCCTAGTTGCGCCACTGTTAACATTGTTGTTCAGATAAAGATTTCAGGGATACCGTTGTGAAACAGGAATTAAAATCTTTGCGCAGGGCCATATAAAATCACTCCCAAAATAGTGTGAGGGGTGGCGAAAATATATACCCCTGAATTGAATTCAAACTATCCAGGTTTACCACAGCTTCCTGCTGGAGTTCGGGTTCTCTAAGGACATGCTTCTCACCGACGTGGCGCAGTTCGAAATAATGCAGGATATCGACCACGCTGAACTTTATAAGGATCTTGTCCCTAAGCTGACCCTATCAGCCAGCCTGGATTATCTTTTCAGGTAAAGCGAAATAAAAATTTATACTTTCCAGTTCTCAGGATTCGGATCCAGATCCGCAACAATTTGGTTCCCTGGAGTATATTCCATAAAATCTGCCACAAATAGTTACTTGTTAAATCAAATCTATCACAAATATTCATTAAATTATCTACCACAAATAGTAACTTGGTTAATTAGTAACTTATTCCATAAAATCTACCATAATTAGTAATTTATTCAATAAAATCTGCCACAAATAGTAATTTATTCCATAAAATATACCAGAAATAGTAACTTGTTCCATAAGATCTACCATAAATTGTAACTTATGAACCATAAAATCTAGCTAAATAGTAATTTATTCCATAAAAGCCGCCATAAATAGTAACTTATTCCATAAGATCTACCATAAATATTAATTAATTCCATAAAATTACCATAAATTATTACATATTCCATAAAATCTATCTAAATAGTAATTTATTCCCTAAAATCTACCATAATTAGTAACTTATTCCATAAAATCTACCATAATTAGTAATTTATTCCATAAAATTTACCATAATTAGTAACTTATTCCATAAAATCTACCATAATTAGTAATTTATTTCAGAAAATCTACCATAAATAGTAACTTGTTCCAGAAAATCTACCATAAATAGTAATTTATTCCAGAAAATATACCATACATAGTTATTTATTTTATAAAATCTACAAAAAATAGTAACTTATTCCATAAAATCTACCATAAATATAAACTTTTTTCTTGTTCTCACTGTAATCACCCCGTTATTTCCTGTTCAGACAGCTTGAGTGTCCGCTAAGGTTTGGCCTGAAAGATTTAACAATCCCTACATCTAAACGAACTCAGATCTTCTTCTCTGTTCTCATGAACTTCTTCCTCTTCATGTCCAGCCAGCATGACAGGGTTCAACAGGTATTATCGGGCGTTCTTACTTTGCGTCCATACTCTGGGTCCTCAATGTGCGTCCAAATGTTGCGATCCTGACTATGCTCACTGTGAACTGTGTCCTAATTGTGCGTCCTCTTTCGGCTTCCTCATTGTGCGTCCTCATTGTGCTTCCTTATTTTTCATCCTTACTTTATCTTTACTGTGCGTTCTCATTTTACGTCCTCACTGTGTATCCTCATTTTGCGTCCTCATTTTGCGTCCTCATTTTGCATACTCACAGAGTGTTCTCACTGTGTGTCCTCATTGTGCGTCCTCATTTTGCATACTCACAGAGCGTTCTCATTGTGTATCCTCATTGTGCCTCGTCATTGCGCTTCTTCAAGTTGCGTCCTCGTTTTGTGTGCTAATTTTGCGTCCTCCCTGTGCGTCATCACTTTTTAAGTGCTTCCTCCTTTAAAACCCTGAATTTTGATGAATGTTGTCAACAATTATGAGGAACATATTGAATCTCCTATTTCTAGAGTATAGATGTGCTCCTGTCATAAACTAAATTTTAAATTGAAATCCATGATTAATCTGAAATATCTTGAAATTGTCAAACACAAGAGGGAACCATTGTAAGAATACCATAGAAATGAATGCACTTGTAACGTTTTTTTTGTCAAAATTTTTTTTATATAAATGATATTTATTAAATACTTCAATGATGAACGAAAACAAAATAACTGCTTGAATTAAGAAAAAACTTATGGGACTGTTGTAAGCGTAATTTCAAGTGATCCTACATGCAACTTGATGACCAGTTTAAAACGGTACAGAGATAAGAGAGTTACAGAGATCGATTATCAGCTAAAATATGCGATATTTTCCACACCATGCTCTATTGTGTACAAGTACTGTACACGACCAATCAGCAAACATCTGTATTCAGGGATATTTAAGGATTCTTTTGATACGAAAGACAAAATCTTTAAAAAAAGACTGAATTCATAAATGTTTCATGTTTAAAATTGGAGTATTTCTTTAAAAGTTGTAAAACTTAACCCCTGAATGGGTATTATGTGAAACAAGTGGCCGTGAGATGGCACTCTGAAAACCTATAGTAAAACGTAGCATGTCGTGCTGGGTCAACTTAGGCCTACGTAGCCCATCCTGTGAAAGGAGATATGCAGTCTGTATAGTCTCTGAAACGATACCATTTAAAGCTTTGTCTGATTAAGTATGAATTGTATGTTTTTGTTCATTTAAACTGTTTATTTTCCTGTGTGGTTTCTCTGCAAAATTGGCTTGCGCACTTCTTGCTAATAAGAAATAATGGAGAAATTCACAGAAACAAACACTTTTTGAGTCCGGAAAACGCAGGGTATAAGAATAATGGGAATGGAAATGGCGCTGGTCTGGCATGAGAAAGCTACGTGCAGGTGCACTGCTTTGCAGACAGGTTCCTTATCACACACGCACATTCTTTTGGGACAGACACACAACATGGCTACAGGCAAGGGAAGTGCATAAAAATGTCTTCAACTATACTTAAGCTTGAATTTAACGAGTAGTTTATTGTAATCTTAAATCAAATTATATTCTTTGCATGAATTTTTCAGTAAGCAAATGTAATCTCCCAGACTGTACAAATACCGAGAATTCTTGTGTACAGTATACGCCGACAGTACAACTCTTGGTTCCTTATCACACACGCACACTCTTTTGGAACAGACACAAACACATGACGTTTCCGACCCCTGGAAAAACGACGTTATCTTCCACATTTTTGACCAGATTTAGGTTCTAAGAGTATCGTTATAAATCGTACATTGCTATCTTCGCTCATAGTCCCTTAAATAATAAAAATATTTTTTAAAAAAACTTTTTTTCAGATCGAGGACAGTGTTATGAGGCTGCATGGAAAAAAGCAGATGTTCCTAGATCAAATAGAAGCTTTCAAACGGGAAAACTCATCTCATATTGAGAAAGCGTACAGTGACAAGGTTATTTAGTACACTATAGTATACAGTACACTATACAGTACACATTATACAGTACACATTATACAGTACACTAATACAGTGCAATAATATACAGGGTGGCCAAAATGTACGGATTGTACGGATTTTTTTTCAAATTGTACGGATTTTTATCCTGGAAATACACCGGTTTTTTTTAATTTTCACTCATTTCAGCAAATTTTTTTATAAAAATTACAAAAAAAATTCTCGTCAAAATGAAGTTAGTTTAACTTATTTTCTGCATTTTAAATAATATTAGATTGATTAATGTTTCAATTGACAATAAAAATTCATTCATAATTTTCGAGATCCCAGAAGTGTTCATTTGAGAATGCAGGGTGTCCCACGAAACATGACATTTGATAAATAATTATTTTTAGTTAAACAAATCTTTTGCTTAGTTATATTTTACTTTGAAATCAATTTTAATATAACGTGACTCCATTATAATATTTTTATTGATCTTAGATATCAAACAACTGAACAAATAATGGAAAAACTATCATGTTGCGTGGGACACCCTGTATGTTCCAGAAGTGTTCATTTGAGAATATGTTTATCTATCTGTCTATCTGTCTAGTTATCTGTCTATCCACCTGTATATCTATCTGCATGTCAGTTTATCTATCTTTTTATCTATCTGCTTATATATCCTATCTGTCTCTCTGTTTATCCATATGTGTATGTGTCTATCTGTTTCTCTGTCTATTTATCTGTCTATATATCTGTCTGTCTGTTTATCTATCTATATATCTGTCTCTTTATCAGATCTGAGAACATCCTTGTACGGATTTTTTCAAAAAAGTTTTGGCCACCCTGAATATAGTACACTAATACAGTACATTTATACAGTACATTATACAGTACATTAATACAGAACACTTATACAGTACACTAAAACAGAACACTAATACAGTACACGAACACAGTTCACGAATACAGTACACTTGTATAGTACACTAATACAGAACAGTACAGAAAATTTATACAGAACACTTATACAGTACACTAAAAAAGAACACTTGTAAAGTACACCAATACAGTACACTAATACAGTACACTAAAACAGTACACTAATACTGTACACTAATACAGTATAGTAAAATAGGAAAGTAATAGGACAGTAATACAGGGCACTAATACAGTACACTAATACAGTACACGAATACAGTACACGAATACAGTACACGAACACAGTTCACGAATACAGTACACTTGTATAGTACACTTGTATAGTACACTAATACAGTACACTAAAACAGTACACTAATACAGGATAGTAATATAGGAAAGTAATAGGACAGTAGTACAGGACACTAATACAGTACACTAATACAAGTACACTAATACAGTACACTAATACAGTACACGAATACAGTACACGAACACAGTTCACGAATACAGTACACTTGAATAGTACACTAATACAGTACACTAAAAAGTACACTAATACTCTACACGAATACGGTACACGAACACAGTACACGAACTCAGTTCACGAATACAGTACACTTGTATAGTACACTAATACAGTACACGAATACAGTTCACGAACACAGTTCACGAATACAGTATACTTAAACTGAACATGTACTAATACAATACATGTACTAATACAATACATGTACTAATACAATACATGAATACAGTTCACTAATACTCTACACTAATACAGTATTTTGCACTAGTGCAGCACGCTAATAAAGTAAAAAAGTACACTAATACAGTACACTGCACTAGTACAGTACACTAATAAAGTAAAAGTACACAAATACACTGAACGATGGCGGTCTGAGCTCTAAGATGGGGGTTTTCAGATTCTTTCTTATCTTATCTTACAATACACAAATTCAATACACAAATAAAATACACAAATAAAGTACACAAATAAAATGCACAAATAAAATACACAACTAAATTTTCTGGAATTATTTGAAACCCTCTCTCTTATTTGTAGGTTGAGCTTTCTGAGTTTGAATCTGAGAAGAATAAATTAAGATGTATGGCGGAATCCATGAACGCACTCAAGGCAGAACATCATTTTTTAAACTATTGTGTACCTTATCATGCATGATCAATGCATGCTGGATTTCATTATAGCGTTATTTCAGTTGTTAATATATCTATAGCACTTTTTCAATTTAAACGGGACCAAAATTTAAATAATTGTGTACTTTTTTTATTCCTGCTTTGTCAAAAAGCTTGTTACATATAAATTTACCCATTATATCAAGACAAGTACTCAAAAATCACATATTGGCACGACCTGTAACGCTTTTGGACTTTTCTCTGTATCTCAAAGGTTCTCGACGAGGAGAGAAATTGTCTTATCAAAAACTTAAAAGCACTGCGAACCAGAAAAATAATTGTTTAGTTCAGCTGGCCAGGAGGCTCGGCCAAATTGGCAAATTATTTATTGTTCATCATTCATTGTTTTCATTCATTGTTCATCATTTATTGTTCATCATTCATTGTTCATCATTCATTGTTCATCATTCATTGTTTATCATTCAATGTCCAATCCATCATTCATTATTCATTGTTCATCATTCATTGTCCATCTTTCCATTTCCATCATTTATTGTTAATCATTCATTGTTCATCATTCAATGTCCATAATTCATTGTCTATTATTCATTGTCCATCATTTATTGTTCAATATTCACTGTTCATCATTCATTGACCTTCATTCATCGTCCATCATTCATTGTCCATCATTCATAGTTCACCATTCATTGTCCATCATTCATTGTTCATCATTCATTGTTCATCATTCATTGTCCATCATTCTTTGTCCATCATTCATTGTCCATCATTCATTGTTCGTCATTCATTGTACATCATTCATTGTTCACCATTCATTTTTCATCATTCATTGTTCATCATTCATTTTTCTTCATTGTTCATCATTGATTGATTGATAATTATATAATTGATTGTTGATGAATTGACTATTAATATATTGATGAATAATTGATTGATTGATTGATTGATTGATTGATTGATTGGTTGATTAATTGATTAATTGATTGATTGATTGATTGATTGATTGATTGATTGATTGATTGATTAATTGATTGATTTTAGAAAGAGAGTCGGTTGGCTGAACTGCAACGTGAGACGGAGTCTATAAAGACTGTGAGTGCGCAAGATTCAGAGCTAGCGAAGATCTTAAACCTTGAACAGGAAACACCACACATCGTCCGTCTCGGAGCAGTTTAAGGAGCCTGTTGACCCAATTACGGCTCTCAATTTAAAGAGATGCCTGTCTAATTTACAACAATATCGTTTAAACGTTTTTTTTTCTATCTGAAAATTTTAACTGTTTTCTACAAGAATATCCAGCAGATTTATGCAGCAGAGACAACGAAACAAATTTAAATACTCGAGCACATTTGAATGACAGCCTCTTTTATTTTTGGTGAGAAAGGTTTAAATAGCGTTGTGATGCAACGATGCAACTCTTAAATTTGTATCTCTGGAAGTGATTATGACTAGGGCTGGACACGTTCCAACTTTTTCTAGCCGTTTCGTTAACGGTTAGTTCCAACCGTTAAAAAATTTCAGTTAGCCATTAATTTTAAGGCTAAGGGCAGAACGTTTGTTCTGTTAACGGCATTTTCCTTTTTTTTAAATTACCTTTAGTTAACGATCTCAATTTAATTAATAGTGTTAACGAAAAAAATTCAACAATCGTTAACGGCTCTAGCCATTAATGGTACTGTTGTTACAAAATTAACGGCGTTAATGGGGCTAAGCGTTAATGGTCTATTACAGTATTAATGGCGTTAACAGCAAACATTTTTTGTCAACGGTTAATATTACCGTATTAACGGCGGTAACGGCGAAAAGAATTTCATTACGGTTTATACACACAGAAGACACATTTAAAAACATCAAAATGCGTTAAATTTTTTAATTTTTTAAAATAAAATTTTTGCAATTTTAATCAGAAAATAACGACATTTTTTTATTTTTAGTTATTTTTTTCAACCGTTAATTTTTTTCTTCTTTTTCCGTTCGTTAACGGTTTTTGCCGTTCGTTAACGAACTCTTCCGTTAATTTTCGAAAACCTCCGTATCGTGAAAGGAACTTTGCCCAGCCCTAATTATGACAATCTCTTTAAGGGGGGAAAACAAAATTTTTATATTATAATCTCATTTTTTCAACAAAATCGTACAATGATCACCAGAAAACAAATGAATAAGAAGGCGACATTACAGCATTACGTATTTGATGTTATTACGAAGCTAATTGTGCGGCTAATTAATTGACATGCTGTGTCTCATGCTTATTGGGCTTTTAAAGTTATAACTTGATTCTAAAAGTCGTCTTCCTATTGCTGCATTTCATGTATAAGCCGGCTCATGGGCAGTTTTGTAATTAATAATTCGGTTAAAGGGAATGTAGACGTAATTTAAAGTGACCAATGCGATTCACAATCGTACCCCCTAATCTAAATTTCTAAATTTTTGGAATGGGTCAACTTGGAATGAAAAGTTTGGAAATTTTCTGCTGCTCCAGTTTGACCTTGTGTGTTGGTGGCTAGGAGTCCAAGTTGAAGAACTTTGCATATCAGAAAGGAAGAGACGAAATCCACAAGCTGCTAGGAGAATATAAAACTCTTTTAGATCATGCTGCTGGGGCCAGACAGCAGCTGGACATTCAGAGGACCATCATGGGGCAGGCGGAGGTAGACAGTGCTTAGGATCAATTTCATTTTACAGATCTGGATCCAGCCTGGAAAAAAAATGGATCCGAATTTACAGATTTTTTTAACAAAAAAAATTTCTATTTTTTATTTCTTTGCTTCTTGATGAACTATTTAGAGAAATGGATTTTTTAGATATCTATAAATTTTGAACAGTTCAGACTTTTTTCTTAATTTTTTCCTCCCAACCCTTTAATATAGCTCCACAAAGGATGAGACTGTAAAGTCGACTGGGAACTTTTAAAATATGAGTATGCCAAGAAAAGAGTAAAACGGCCATTTTGTTGTACTGTTTCTATCCTGCAGGTGTACTTCACATATTTATGCTATATAACCTTTTGGGCCCTGGAATATCATTTTATAGAAAATCTAAAATTAATATTAAAAGAATACCAAATTATGAAATAGGCTAGTGTCATAATTGACCAATGATCATTTCACATAGACTCTTTGCCTTTCACTTAACAAACGATGATTTTCCGTTATAACTATAAATCAAATGATGTTTTTATTCACCTAATTCATTATAAAGTTTATTTTACAGCTTTTAAAAATTCGAAGTTGAAATTGATAGTCTAGGGAACATACTGTATTAATGTACTCTACTGCATATAATTTGTGAACATTTACATGATTTGTACACTTTGAACTTGAAGTCACATCCTTTGTGGGTAACCCTGTATTTTGACCTCATTTCATTTTGATGAGGATTCGGATACGGATCTGGATCCTGAATCCTCTCTAAATAAATGGATCTGCATCCGGATCATTTCCATCATTTTCCTCAAAATTAATTCTGCTAACGCGTGTGTCAGATTTACAACTGTTTCTAGAACAATCTGATACTGAACACGAAAACATTTGTTATTTTAACTAAAAAAATATTCCTGAGGTTCTCCCAAGTTCCCCAATCAAATTTGAGGCAAATCGGTCCAGGGGGTTATGAGTGATGTTAGGATCAGATATCAACAAACTGACAAACGGCGATTACTACTTTATATATTGTATCTGTGTACTTCCAGGAGATGATGAAGGCGGAGGAGGAGGTAAAGATGAAGGGTGAGATGGAGGAGAGGGTCTCGAGAGAGCTGGAGGAGAAGATCTTCAACATTGTCTCCACACAGGATACAATCATGTACGCATTAATACCGTAGAACAAGGGTGTATATTTTCCTAGCATATCATCCCCTCCCCTCTTTGAAAATCTTGTTTTGGAATGTTATTTAGGGTTTTATTCCCAGAATTGGGGAAATAAATGAATATTTGGATCAATAGTATCATAAAGGCCCCAGAGCATTAAGATTTAAAAAATCATTAAGCAATATTTAATACTATTCAACCCTAGTAACTCAAAACTATGAGAATTAAATGGTGTTAGATACTTTCCCAAAGGCATATTTCCAAGGGCTACTTCCCAAGTGAAAACTTTCCAAATGTGCAATTTTCCAAGCGGAAACTATCCAAAGGATAGATTAGACCCTCTGAGGCACCGTAGGCTGCAAGGGGGCGGGGCCGAGCACTGCGGCTAGGATATACTAAAGGGCCGAGCCCCGCGGCAAAACAGGCTGGGGGCGTAGCGCTGCGACTAGGTCAGACTGGGGAAGTTGCCGCTTGGGAAATTGCACATTTGGGAAGTTGCCACTTGGGAAAAATCCTTTTGGAAAGTACCTAACATCAATTGAATTCTAGGTTGAAATGGTCGCGTAGAAAGGAGAGTAAGGAGAAGGAGATGGGAGAGTGGGAGGCTCAGGTGGCGCAGAGCACCAGTAATTGTTCCCAAGAGAGATTAGATCGGATAGATCTGCTGAGAAGTTTGAAAGGAAAGATTGAAGAGATAAAAGATAATATCCAGGTAAATTAAACAAGGGTCGGCGCTTATATTATTACAATGAAGACGACTTTTGAGTTAAGTTCTGATTTAGAACAAGCTTTTTTCCTTTTTGAACATATGAATAGTTGACAGCTTCTATTTGTTTCCATGTTTATGTGTAATGTGAATCAATGCTGTTTGAAAGTTTGGTAGACATCAAATTGGAAATCTGAAGTCGTCTTCATTGTGTTGATATTTACGACGAGTGACGTTTTTTGTCTAATTCTTTTAGGATCAAAAGGATCAAAGTGGAAGAAAGGCAAATTGTTTTAATTTGTTTAAGTTTTGACCCTGAATTTAAATATATTCAAAAAACAAACCAAAAACTAATTACGATTAATACGATTGTTTTCATTTTTTGTTTGTTTTTAAACAGTTTCAAGTGTTTTAAAGTCAACCATTCAACATCGGGCCCAACAAAATTTGGAGATGTTAACGGGAGTGTAAGCGCACTTTAATGTAATCCACCATACGAAGATGGAAATGTCCGATTTACAACGTTACCTTATAAACTTTGTCTGATTATTAAGTATGCATTAAATATTAATAACAAAGAAATTTTAATTCTCTATTTGATCATTAATGTGGTCAACGTTTCACGGGCAGCCGTAGTACATTTGAATTTCCGAGCCGGGTCAACCTTTCCGATCCCAGTTTGTACTGTATCGACACTCAATAGGACTAGCCGGTGCAACAAAGTTGACGCGGTCAGACTTTAGGTTGAATTTACTTTTACTGAAGGGTTAGAGGTGCGTGGTTTGAATATCTTAAAGTATTTGATTCTCACAATTTATAGCAGAATTTTTTTTTATAGAAAAACCACAATTGAAATAACTCAATTTTTAATTTTAAATTTATTCTTGGATTTATTTTAAACTTTTAAATGAACCGTAAGGCATCTATGATTTGATGGTTACTCGAACTGACGTGTACTGTCCCCGTTAAGTGTTTAGAAGTGTTTAACTTTATTTATTTATTTTAGGGGAAAGAGCAAGATGGCAAGTCCAATTACGCTAGGTATAGTTTTTTCATTTTTTAAATTTTTATTTTTTATTTTTTCACGCTAGGTATATTTTTCATTTCAATTGTATTCTCTGTACACGACGAGTATTTTTTGTTTTAATAGCACACCCCTCACTCCTCAATAGTCTACGCCTTTTCAGATACGACTTTGTGACGTCGTAGCCGCTATAGTTTTATTTTTTTGGTTTATAAATAGAAATTCTAACTATTCTTGTTCTTTGTTTCATTTCAGGTTGTTTGAAAATATATCCAACACGGGACACACAAAAATGTTCATAAATAAATTACAGATAAAATGGTGTATTAAAAAATTTAAATGAAAGAAATAGTATATAACTGCTGTACATAGAGTAAATTTCGCTTTACCTTATTTGAAACGAGGTTTACACTCTAATTGTATAATTCTCGTCGTAATAGTTAATTGAGAGATTCTGTGGTGGGTATTGTTGGTCAAATAAGTAAGTCATTTATTTTTACAGGTAGCTGCGCTCAATTTAACAGTTTCAATATTCAGGTTACTTGAGAGCTTGGAGATGTTCAACGAGTATATCAAAGATAGTTTTAATGAATTGGATAGAGCCTAATGGAGTCTTTTGGAGCCTTTGGGAGCCAACGGATCCTAGTTGCGATGGATTGGATGGAGTCTGATCAGTAATCATTCAATCAATGTTTGATCAAGGAATTGAGTCTTTGCCACAGACTCAAATTTTATAATCCCTATTTCTATACAGTCTGCTGATGTAAACCTTTAATATTTCAAACTTAGATTATTTTATCTAACAGAATTCATAGTTTGAAATCATATCATAGGGTTGCAAAGATATAAGGATTATACAATCAGAGTTTGTGGCAACAAGTGAATTCCTTATTATGTTTTTTATCAAGGTCGTTTATTTGTATATTATTAAGTAAAAGAAATGTAAATTGAAATATATATTTTTAAAGTACAAAATAGGAAAATTGTCTAATAAGTGTCCACTTCAGTATTTTATCAAAGATTATTTTTAGAACTTTTGAAAGCAATAAAATTAATCCAATTCAATTGGTGATCTTTTTCAACCTGTCAAAACAAATTTGTTTCTCTCTTCTTGAGAAAATAGTTACTGGCCTAATTTTATGAATTTGAGCCGCGTCTCAAATCCGCCAATAACCGGTTTTATTTGAGCGCCGGCTTAAATCTTGAAACATTAAATGCAATTCTAAGTGGAATAAACCATATTTGATCCGCGGCTCTAATTCTTTAAATTCGGCCTCTGGCTCATTTGACAGTTTATTCATTATATTATTTTTTTTTCTCTTGTAATATTAATTCCATTAGAAATAAAGACGCATCAAAGCCCATGAAAATCATTTTAGGGTAATATTGGAGTCGTTCTATTAACTGTATTTGAATTTTTTGGTGGGCCAGCTGCTAGCCGGCCATGATAACCCGATTGTCCTAATCCTTTAATTTTGTTCCTAATTGCTGGACAATCTTTTTATTGTTCCTAAATCCTTGTCCTAATCCTTTAATTTTGTTCCTAATTATCAATTTTTTTGTTCCTAAAAAATCTGGCCACCCCCTCACTTTATCCTGTGTCCGCCCCTGAGTAAATTAGGAAGACGTCTTTAAAGCTGTACTTAGTGTATTTGATGTTTTTTTTCGAAGAGAATTTCTCTCAGAATTTTTAAATATATTTTTGTCAATGTAAATGTATTCAAGAAATAAAAAACATTATTATTTTCGAATGAGTTTTCTCCTCTATTTCTCACAAACTTTAGAAAATACTTTTAATGATTATTTTGATGCTATATCGTTTGCACTAATGTCCGATTAATCTAACGTACTTTTGCACTAAAGTCAGCTGATCAGTAACACTTGTGGTCGCAGCGCCCGGCCTCTAGCCGCGGTGCTCGGCCCCCTATCCTAGCCGCAGAGCTCGGCCCAGAAATTGTCTTAACCTAACCTAACCCTTAAATAAAATGTTAGTCCGAATGAACGGTTAGTCCGATCAATCATAATTATAGTGCAAATGATACGACACCATTATTTTTGAATAATATTTCTCCACTTCCTGTACTACTTAACAGACTTTAACAAGTAAAGAATTAATTTCATTTGTGTTTGTTTGTTTTTACCAGGGGGGATGATAGTTTCCTACCTATGTGCTCGGTTAGCTGTACTGTACACTTACTAATATTGATATACTAAAGGTAAGGCCAGAATCTCCTTATAATAAACAAATATGTAGTACGCTCTCGGTATAGTCAGGGAATAGGAATAAAGGTATAGTTTATGGCCTATACAATTAGTAAAGGATTAGCGTACATCATCACTCTATATATACACATATAACCTCGTAGTTTTCAACTTCCCTTACACCCCCTAGATATTTTAAAATTATTTTATAAGTTTTCTCCATTAGTTTCACTAACTGCACAGACTTAAGATAATAAAAATTAAATTAAAAATTTCAGTTGAATTGGGAAAACTTCGGGCTATTAACTGGGTTTTCCAAGCTTGAAACTTTATAAAATAACTGTATCAACTTCCTCCATTATCCATTAATTATAAAAAAGTCCTTTTTCCTTTTCAAATAATTACTCTCAACATACAACTATACATACGTACATACATACACAATAGACATACTACTATAATTACTACTATAAATCAAATCAAATTATATATTTAGCCACAAACTATACATGTAAAAATGGATATTTATAATTAACATTAGTTGAAATTACAGTTTATTGCAGGGAGACAGAACTAGCCGAAACTGTTTTCAGTCGGTCTCCCGTACAATCAATCTTTAATCAAAAAATTTAACTTGAAAAGGTGAGGGTTCCTTTAAGAAGTCTGGTGGCTAAAAATTAGCATTTGAAATAAAAGATATGATTCCTGGCTGAAAAGATCCACAGACTGGTCAAGAGAGAAACAAAGCTATAATTGAGAATTAATTAAGTATTTGAGCAACTGAAACAATAAAGTTTATCACATCTGAAGTCTAAATATTTATCAAGCAAGAATTTTTTAACACTAAGTTTAAACCCTTAAGCTTGCTCTCAATTTTTTTAATATTAGGATCAAAATCATTACATAACAAAGGAAAGCTGAAAAAAGGGAACTTTTTAAAAAATCATTTCGTACCCTTGGTAGAAAAAAATCATCAGCATTTCTTAGAGGATAAGGGTGAACCGTTAAGGTTGAATTTTTTATAAAAACACCATCTTAGTTGACAGTAGAATATTTCTGATCTATAGAATGCATAATTAATAATTGCTGTTGAATTATTAGGTCAGGAAGAGGCAGAATATCTAATGAGGAAAATAAAGGTTGAGAGTGGGAATTATATGAGGCTTTAGAAATTATGCGTACGCATTTNATGCGAGTCTAGTTGCTTTAGTAATTAGGTTGATAAATCCATAGGATAAGAGCAGCTCGATATATTCAAGGCTTAAATTAGAGTTTGCAATTGAGAGAAGTTCCATGTTAGAATCCGTCATAATATAACAATCTTTCTCTGTACATACATACACAATAGACATACTACTATAATTACTACTATACATACGTACATTCAAACACAATAGACAAACTACTATAATTACTACTATACATATGTACATACATACACAATAGACATACTACTATAATTACTACTATACATATGTACATACATACACAATAGACATACTACTATAATTACTACTATACATATGTACATTCATACACAATAGAAAACATTCATAACCTGCAGTCTTTCAATTATCTAAAAAAAATTCAATGTTTTATTTATTACCTTCACTACCTTCACTACCTTAAATAATTGTTCAACTTATTATACAGTGAGAACCAGAAACCTGTGGAAAAAGACGACATTTTAGCAATCTTTACGTGTATTCGATGGTGTTACAAAATAGCTTATAGTTTTACTGGAAATTTAAAAGTCCCTTATAAGTGAAATGAGTCTGTGCACAATGTTCATTTGGACTATTTCAAATCATAACTTGAGTCTAAAAGTCATATTTCTGCATTGTTGTTGAAAACTAGGTATTTAGTAGCCCTGAGTATCCGGTTACACCTTTTCAAAATATAGGCAACTATCAGGGGTGTATTCGGGAATTTTTGCATTATAAAAATAAGAATTTTTTAAAAAAGAAAATTTTATATCTACAGTAGAGAGGGCAGCGGCCAATCTGTGTTACACTCGAATGCCGCAAGGAATTTCAAGACAGAGAGAGGGCCAGTTCTAGTCGCAGCGCTTGGCCCCCAAGCCTGTCCTAGCCGCGGCGCTCGGCCTTCTAGCCGCAGCACGCGGCCATGAAAGTGTCTAAACCTAACCTAACCATAAAATATATACTAATCTCTCTCTTCTTACAAATCATTGCGACAATCGCAAAGTAACAGAGTTTGGCCGCTACCTGCAGAGCGGCAAAATATACAGGGTCACCAACAGCTGGTACTTTAAAAGGTCTGCAAGAGCGTAATTTCAAGCAACTTTCAATTTTGAAAATTTAAAAACGATCTTTTTAAAAAGTTAATAATTCTTAGGATGTCTCTGATGTTCTGGGTTAAAGTATATGTAGTAGCATAAATAATATATATAAAAATATATGTAGTAGCATAAATAATATATATAAAAATATATAGTAGCATTAATAATATATATAAAAATAAACAAATGATTATCATCAGAATCATCTCTGAGCGTGGATTGTTTGATGAAATAATAATTTTATATTTGACATTCCTGTGTAATTAGCTGGTTTTTACATGGACCCGCAGAAATAAGATTTTATACGGAGGTAGGCGATTATATCAATACAATGAAGACGACTTTTTATTTAAGTTTTGATGGTTAACAAGATTGTTTAGGCTTTAAACTTAAATAATTAAAGAAAAGCTTTTTTAATGACAGCTTTTCTATTTGTTCTCATGTTTTTGTGTATCCATGCTGTTTAAAAGTTGGATATAAATCCAAATTGAAAACAAAAATTGTCTTCATTATATTGATAACATCGCCTACCACCGTATTAGCATGATTCAAGGAAAAATGTTGCATAACAAAAAGCTTTTTTTTTAATGGAATAAGAAGTAATTGTAATTATTCATAACTACTTTACATGGAAGTTAAGGGAATTTTCCTTTACCAAAGTTACCAAGACCAAAATTAGTGGAGGGAACCCGTGGTTAAGTGAAATTTTTTATTTCCTGAAAAGTAGTTGTAAACAATTTTATCGTCTTTTGAGATGAATCAAATCAAATCATAAGTTGCAGGGATGGCCTAAAACTCCAGTAGTGGATTGGAGTTTCAAGTCCTCCCCATTCCTAGTTTTTCAGTCCGGCCTTCCGTACTATGTTTTTCGAAATTTTTTTTGAACGTAAACGATCCACGGATTTCTAAATCCATATTTTTAGGAATAAATCTAGGTTTTGGTTTATGACGCATCATGCACACACCCTCCCCCCTACCCGTCCACCGGTAAGATCACAGAGATTTATGCGCTGATCAAAACCAAGGATCAAGATAGGTTCGACTTTAAAGCGTCGCCAGGCCTTAACCTTTTATTTGTATCTTGCCAACTTAACAATACTTTTTTGTAGCTCTGGATAAAGGATTTTAAAGCTTAAAAGTTATGGTTGCTTACTGAAGTATTACATGTGTAATAGGGAAAATACTAAACAATGTTTGCGCCGGAATGGAAATATTTTAGTTCGCAGTAAGTGAGAACTTGGCATAGCAACCTGTGGCGTTTAAGGCGCACCTACTTCCCAGGCAATAGAAGGAGGGGAGGGAGTCCAACCACAAAAATGTCTCTTCCGAGCCACATTTTTCACGTCCGAGCCACATTTTTCTCATCCGAGCCTCCTTTTAAAAAATAGTTTTATCTTCAAGTATTGGACACTTTAAAAAAGTCATAATAATGAAGAATGTGGCTCGGAGGAGAAATTGATGTGGCTTGTCTCCCTCCCCCTACAGAAGGCAGTGCTTGGGTGTAGTTTTATTATTTTATATTTAGTTGAGAGGAGGTGCTAGATGCGTATTGAAAACGTACACCAATTCTGCCTAAATACAATCAAGCATATTTCACAAAATAAACATTTTGCTGACTTAAAAATTTCGTCCATAAGTTGTCTAAAACCTCGTCTAAAAGTGGTGTAAAATCTCGTATAAAAGTGGTGTAAAATCTCGTCTAAAACTGGTGTAAAATCTCGTCTAAAAG